GAAACACCAAGCGGGCTGCACACTGCAGACCTTCCCGATAGGAGAGCGGGAGGTGCCAACACGGCAGCGGATCTTTGAAGCGGGTCCCTCACAACCGGTGTGCCTGTCCCCGGGAACCCAACATGCGGCCTTAGGTCAGACGGGGCAGCTGCATTCGCCACCTGCCCCTGCGGCCTTCGTTCCTCCCTGCCCCCCATCTCCGTCCTCGGGTGACCCCTGTGCTCGCCTCAACACAGCACTCCATCGAATTCTCTGTTTCCAGCCTGCTTCTGTCTTCCTCGCTAACCTGCAGAATCCTTGCGCGGGGCCTCGTGTACCGTTGGCCTCTGCAGCCCAGCGGCTGGCACGAAGCTGCACCGCAGTAACTCGGGGGGGGGGGGGGGCGCGTCCCACGGTCCACACGCTTCAGGTTGTCACGTGGCGAGACCTTTCGGACCGCCCCGTCCTCCCTCAGCACAACTGACGGGCAGCTGTGTCTTCTATCACCCTGGATTACCCGCCTTCTTAGTCTTAATCACGATCTAATCCACTCACGCTTGAGTGCTTTGTGGCTGCGTCAGCCCGGCCCCTGACCAAGGCGCAGACGGCCGGCGCGGAGATCGCTGCTCCGTGGGTGATGTTTACCGTTCAGCGGGCGATCTGACATGTCGGTGCAGCGTCTGGCCGGTGTCTGAGGGGCGGTGGTGTTCGTAGTCAGAGCTCGGGTTGATGGAGCGGAGACTGTGTTCCAGGCACTGTGCGTGGGTTCTACAGACGCTCCTCGTTTACCCCGGTCTCTGCTCTGCTGTCATCTGGCCTCTCCGCTGGCTTGAGAGGTCCCAGGGCTCTCACGAAGGTCACTGCGAGGAAATGGAAGAACTAGGGTTTCGGGGGGCTTCTTGACCCCAAAGTCTGAGGTCCTGGCCAGGTCACCCCAACACCCTCCATTGGTACTACACCCAGGAGGTCCCGGTGGGCTCCTGATCATTTCAGGGGCGCGGGCAGCTGACCAGGGTTACGTCGGCAGCTGACACCAGCGCTGGGCGTGAGCGGGCGTGTCGGCGCCCATTTCTCGGCTCCAGTTCTCCTTGTAAATAAGCAGACGCACCGCGGACTTTCCACGCGTGTGTGTGAGCGAAACGGTGCCTGGCAGCCAATCGGACCGCACTTGCAACCACTGGAAGAAGAGTGTCCACCCAGGACGCCCAGCAAAGCGTCGCTCAGAAATGAAGCTGGGCTGGAGCCGTGTCGGACGGTGGAACCGAAAGAACGTGTCGCCGACAGACGGGTGCGGAGAAATGCCGGAGACTTCTTCCAGCCGTTCTCCAGTGCGTTTTCCGCGTCTGTCCGAGGGGTCCTGCGACTGTTCTCCTTGGCTCCTTCCATGGTGAAGTATATGGAACGGTGACTGTTGTGGCTACACCGCCCGCGCATTCCTGGAACAAATCCCACTCGGTGTGATGTCCTGTCCCATCCATCGGTGGCTGGATCGTGGGCAAGGAACTGCTTGGGAATTTTTGTATCTACGCTCATGAAAGAACTTTTCCCATAATTCTGCTTTTTGTAATGTCCTCATCAGATTTTGACATCAAGGTGATGCTAAATTTATAAGTGGGAAATGCTTCCAATTTTCTGGGGAAAAAAAAATTTAAGTGCTATTTCTTAAATGTTTGGAAGGATGTGGTGGCCAAGAGTTCTGCCGTCTGGTCCCCCACAGTGGCCTCCGGGAGCTTCAGCCTCATTTCATGCCCCCACGTACCGTGGTCTCCCTTCCTCCATCCGTGAAATGCTTCTGCTCCAGGGGGGTTGCAGGCATTACCCGATGACTTTAGACAGGAGGACACGATTACAAATGGCACTGAGCTGTGTACGAGGGGAACATGTGGAGAAAGAAACAAGCCAGATTGGAGGGTTCCGACAGGCTCACCTGGTAGTCTGAGGTCTGAATAATGCCGAGGCACACAGGACAGGTGGGGAAGAGGAGTCCAAATGGGCAAACGGAACAACAGCACGTGCCAAGGTCCTGAGGCAGGAGGGAGTATAATCAGCATCAGGAGTTGAAAGGAAGAGCTCAGAACACCAGAGGTGAGCAGAGGTCTGTAGAACACGTGAGGATTTAATACTGAAAAGAGAGTGATGTCTTAGCAGGGGTCCCAGAGCGTGTCCTTGGAAGAGTAAGCCCCTGCCTGCAGGGGGTGGGGGAGGTTAAATGCCAGGGGACCGATCAGCGGCAGCTGCCAGAGCCTTGACCTGAGAGAAGGGGCTGGGTGGGGCAGAGAGGACGGGAAGGTGGGTGGACTCTCAGAACCAGGGGGAAGGTCACCCCCACACAACTTGGTGATGGGTTTCATACAGGGGAGGGAAAGTGGGGTGCCAAGGATGACTCGGGGGTTCTGGCCCCGTGGGTGGATGGCGGTCTCTCTTCTGAGGCAGGGACTCAGCGAGATGCCCGGTTGGCTGGTTTGAAATGATTCAGTTGGTTTGGGGCGTGTTAAATTTGTGAAGTCACTGAGACATTGAGTGGGGAGGCCAGCGTGGCCCGCGGGTGTGGCGCAGGCCTGCAGCCCCGAGTGAGGTCCGAGCCACGCACACCGGGAACCCCCCAGACTAGTGGGTTTGTCCAGACGTCTCTTGGAAGTCTGTGTGGCCGTGACCGGCTTTCCTTGTCCCTGGTCTCCCCCCTTTTCTCCGGAGAACTTGTTCATTTCTCTCTCGGCCCCTCCCGTCTGGGGCGTCTTCTGACCACAGCCTGTGTCCCGCCGGCCGGGGCAGCGGGAGCAGCGGCCGCTGCAGCTCTCCTGGGAATCACTGGCACGTGCGGACCGGTGGCCGCCCAGGGTGAGGGCCGTCGTGCATGGCGAAGGGCATGAGCCACTGCACAGGTGTCTTCTTTTCTTTACTACTTTTATTTTCGTTTTTTCTTTCTTCATTTTTAGAGACAGAGGAAGGGAGAGGGAGAGAAAGAAACATCCATGAGAGAGAACATCGATCGGCCGCCTCCTGCATGCCCCCCACTGGGGATCGGGCCCACAACCTGGGCATGTGCCCTGACCGGGAATCACACTGGTGACCTCTTGGTGCAGGGTCAATGCTCAACCACTGAGCCACACCAGCTGGGCTCTTTATTAAATTTTTAATTGATTTGAGAGAGAGAGAGAAAGAGAGATCACTTTTGTTGTTCTTTCTTTATTTATCCTCACCCGAGGACACTTTTCAATATTTTGTTCAGATAGAGTGGGAGGGGGAGAGAGAGAAAGAAACATCGACGTGAAAGGGACACATCGAGTGGCTGCCACCCACACGACCCTGGGACCGGAGACAAACTGCAACCGAGGTACGTGCCCTTAGCGGGAACCAAACCCGGGTCTTTCCGGACCGCAGGCCGACGCTCTAACCTCTGAGCCAAACCGGCCAGGGCTGTTCCTCTTATTCTGCCTTCATTGGCTGATTCTTGTCTGTGCCCTGATCAGGGATTGAACCAATAGCCTTGGGGCGTCTGGACCACGCTCTGACCTAGTGAGCCGCCCGGCCAGGGCCGGAGGCGCCTCTCGAAAGGCACACGCACTGCGCTGGAGTCCGCAGGTGTGCGCACCCGCCCGGCCCGAGGGGCGTGTCTGGGACGGACCCCCTTCCAGTGGGTCCTAGGCACAGCTGGACGGGAGGAGGGGACAGGTTCTGAGTGAGGCCTTGTACCCAAATGTGCGTAAAAGCCGCGGAGAGCACATTTTTGTGACAAGACAGTCAGGTGGATCGGAATGAACAGAACCTGCGCTCTCTAAACAAACTCCACCCCACGGCGTTGACTCGGACGAGGGGCTCGGAACGTCCTGGGGACACAGCTGGAGCCTGGGTCCGAGCTCTCACAGCCTGGACAGGATCCCGGAGGCTTCAGCCGGCAGGATGTTCTGCAAGATCAGTCGATCGTGCTTAGGTCCAGCATTTTAAAACGAAGAAGGAAGGTGCTCGGCGAGACGTTTGAGCCTAACGGTGAATGTTACGAGAGACGGAGGCAGAGAGAGAGAGTGTTTTTCACATGGAGGCTGTTTATTTGCCAAACCCATTAAGTCGACCTCCGCTCGGAGGAGCCAAGGGGTGGCGGCTCGACCCCGAGATTTCTGTGCGGCGGGACGTGATGTCAGGGCTCCAGCCCAGCTCCCCCCGGGTCGCTCCTGGGTGCTGGCGCTCGACGACGTGACTGGGGTGGCCAAGGAGAAACCCGGTGTCTCCTCCGGACCGCAGGCCGACGCTCTAACCACTGAGCAAATCGGCCAGGGCCCGGTGTCTCCTAGAGACTCGCGCTGTCGACCCTGTGGTCGGCGGGCTCTCGTTTGTTAGCTTCCCGAATCAGTTTCCCAAACGAGATTTCTAGCCCCACTTGCTACTTCTCCTGAGGTTCCTTTTCCACGTGGGACTCTGTCGGCTGCTGCTGTGTGTGATACGCTCACTCTAAACAAGCGTCTACCCATCACGTGTCTTCTCGTGTGAGTGACACTCGGCTCAGCAGGGCCAGGCCGCGTCCTCGGTGTTTCGGGGGACACACCATGCCACGCCCACGTCCATCCTCTGAGTGCAACGCTTTATTATTTTATTGTAGTCAGTGGGAAAACTGCTTTCTAGTTTGATTTAAGACAGCTCAGAACTTTTGTGTTTAATCCTCACCCGAGGATATATTCCCATGTATCCTCAGATAGAGAGGGAGGGAGAGAGAGAAAGGGAGAGACATCGATGTGAGAGGGGACGCACCGACTGGTTGCCTCCTGCACGACCCGGACCAGGGCCAGGAACGAACCGCATCCGAGGTATGTGCCCTTGACCGGAATCAAACCTGCAATTCTTTGCTCCGGGGGCCAAACCAGCCAGGGCAACAGCTCGATACTTCCATAATCCCCAGGTTATATGGGTAGACTGTGGCGTCGATGGTCAGACCCCGGGCCAAGGTCACAGGGAGAGCAAGCCTGCTCATTTGGAAGAGGTGGACATTTTAAAGTGTGTGGTGCCAATGACATTTTATTTTCTCTTAGGAGTGACTGGGTGACCTCCTACAAGGTCATGGTGAGCAATGACAGCCATACGTGGGTCACTGTGAGGAATGGATCTGGGGACATGGTGAGTCTGTCTTCCCGCTGACCTCGGGGCCTGGCTGTGTGGGGCTCTGCAGACCCGCCATGCGCACCCGGTCAGGGTTTGCACCTGGGTGCTTCTTACTTCACGTCAACTCAAACCAACCGCAGAGTCTAATGGACAGTGACTCCCCTTCTGTGCCTGGAAGCGGGGCACCAAGGGCCCACGTGCAATTCAGAGCTGCTGACTGGTCTCTTCCCCAGCTCACGAGTCAGCCCTGAAGTTACCTGGCTGCTGGGTAGCTGGGCCCCTCCCGGCCCCTCGGTCAGGATCCTCCCCTGACTCGCTCCCCTCCCGGCTCCTGGGTCAGGATCCTCCCCTGACTCACTCCCCTCCCGGCTCCTGGGTCAGGACCCTCCCCTGACTCTCCCCTCCCGGCCCCTCAGTCAGGATCCTCCCCTGACTCGCTCCCCTCCCGGCTCCTGGGTCAGGATCCTCCCCTGACTCCCTCCCCTCCAGGCTCCTGGGTCAGGACCCTCCCCTGACTCTCCCCTCCTGGCTCCTGGGTCAGGATCCTCCCCTGACTCTCCCCTCCAGGCTCCTGGGTCAGGATCCTCCCCTGACTGCTCCCCTCCAGGCTCCTGGGTCAGGACCCTCCCCTGACTCGCTCCCCTCCCGGCTCCTGGGTCAGGACCCTCCCCTGACTCTCCCCTCCCGGCCCCTCAGTCAGGATCCTCCCCTGACTCGCTCCCCTCCCGGCTCCTGGGTCAGGATCCTCCCCTGACTCTCTCCCCTCCCGGCTCCTGGGTCAGGATCCTCCCCTGACTCTCCCCTCCTGGCTCCTGGGTCAGGATCCTCCCCTGACTCCCTCTCCTCCCGGCTCCTCGGTCAGGATCCTCCCCTGACTCGCTCCCCTCCCGGCTCCTGGGTCAGGATCCTCCCCTGACTCGCTCCCCTCCCTGCTCCTGGGTCAGGATCCTCCCCTGACTCTCCCCTCCCTGCTCCTGGGTCAGGATCCTCCCCTGACTCCCTCTCCTCCCGGCTCCTGGGTCAGGATCCTCCCCTGACTCCCTCCCCTCCTGGCTCCTGGGTCAGGATCCTCCCCTGACTCGCTCCCCTCCCGGCTCCTGGGTCAGGATCCTCCCCTGACTCGCTCCCCTCCCGGCTCCTGGGTCAGGATCCTCCCCTGACTCGCTGGGACGACCCCGTCTTCCAGCCCCAGGACTTGTTTCCGGTTGGCCGGTTCTGATCGCGTCACTGTCTTCCTCAGGTTCCCGAGTGCGTGTTCCTGATGCGGAACAAGTGTCTCGCACAGTCTGACCGTAGCCTCCGTCTGAAGCTTCTTTCCCGTTCTTACCCCCCCCCCCTTCCGTGTTCCAGAAAAACCCAGCAGGGCTGCTGCCTCTGCAGCCGTCTCGGGTCCCTGCAGCGTGGCCGCCCTCCATCCCTACACACTGATTAGTCTGCCTCCTGGGCCAGTCACAGGGACCCCCTCCCCGAGGCTTCGTCTGGTCCTTCCCTTCTGGAAACAGAGCTCTGTGGTTGCGCCTTGGCCATGGCACTGATCAGTTTCGGCTCTGACAGCTAAGACTTACCCACCCCCGAGCCCCGGATGGGGGCTTCCTGTGGCCAGGGTCCAGGCCCGAGTCGGTTCCCTCTCCCCTCGCTGCCCAGCACTCGTGGGGTATTCTGCACCGCGGCTGGCTCGTGGAGGGCGTGGATGACTGACTGTCCCTGATGATAAAGTTCTAAAAGCGTCTCCCCCTCCCCTTGCGCCAGCAGATATTTGAAGGGAACAGTGAGAAGGAGATCCCCGTGCTCAACGAGCTGCCCGCGCCCATGGTGGCCCGCTACCTCCGCGTAAACCCGCAGTCCTGGTTCGGCAACGGGAGCATCTGCCTGCGGATGGAGGTCCTTGGCTGCCCGCTGCCAGGTGAGTGTGTCCGCACCCGCAGCCGCCCGGCCAGAGGAAACCAGGGGCGCCTTCTCATGTCTCCTGCAGAGAACCTAGAAACGAAAATAGCAAAACGAAAATAACTAAACATCTCCCGCAGTCCCACTCAGAAACACCAGGACCGTTCGGGGCCTCGACGTAACGTGCCAGCTGTGGTTTGCCTCCGGGGATTGCAGGGCGGTGCAGAGTTCAAGGGTGAGAATTCGCGCCACTGTGCCGCCCACAGTCAGTAACACCGTTTGGCGTCCTTGGGCGTCCCTGCTCCACTGCGTCGAGGGGGTGGGAGGGGTTCATTTTAGACCTGACCACGTACATGGTGTCCTTCTGTTTAAGTAGCTTCAGTTAGATGCCTGTGTCTTTGGGGGAAACGCTTATTCTGTGAGCCTGTGTTCCCTTTGCCCTGTTGTCACATGGTGGTGTCTGGCTGTGACGTCAGGGCGACAGAAAGAAGGGGGCTGGGGTTCACACGAGCCGCCTGCGCTGTGCTGGCCTCCGCTGTGGGCAGCTGATGTGATGGCCGCTCAGAGCCTGTGCCTTCGTGTCCAGGTGCAGCCTGTAGGTGGCGGCCTGTTCGTCCTGAACTGGCATCCCCAGGACACTGGCCCCCAGAACCTCCCTAAGTCCCTTCCCTGGAACCTGTAGGAATTTGCATCCTCCCATCCACCTGCGGTCAGCCCATGGGAGCAGGTCGCACGGTGTGGGTTCCCCTCCTGTGCTTTCTGTCAGTGGGCTGGCCCAGTCTTGTGCAGTGTGAGGTCAGGCCCTGCTCCCGCTGGCCCCTCAGCCCCCCAGCGCTGCCTGGCAAGGGCACCGCCGCTTCAGGCTGTCCGACAGCCTCCCAGCCCCACCGTGAACCTGACTCACTGCATCTTCAAAGCACACTCGCTGCTCATCCCTCATTCCCATGATATCCCTGATCTCGCTTTGCCAACTGTGAATTTTTAGAACAGTCTCTGTGTTGGTGTGAAAGATGGATCTATCAACCCACCTACTTACCCGCACATCAGACGGGTTCTTTGTGATAAACGTGTACTTACTAATGGCAGAACTTTTTTCATGTCATTAAAACGATTAGAGACCATCTGGTTTGTGGATGCCGTTAACCTGGTTCACGGGCAAAATCTCACGTTGTTTTAAAAAAATTTTTTGTTTCTTTATTGATATTAGAGAGAGAGGGAGAGAGAGATAGAAACATCCATGAGAGAGAACGTCAATTGGCTGCCTCCTGCATGCCCCCCACTGGGGATCGGGCCCACAACCCGGGCATGTGCCCTGACTGGGAACTGAACTGGCGACCTCTTGGTGCATGGGTAGACACTCAACCACTGAGCCACACCTGCTGGGCTAAAAAGCTCAGGTTTTTAATCTGTCTTTTAATCTGGAAGTTTTGTCGTTCTCAGTGTCTGGATTCTGGAAAGAACCCACAGTGACCTTTGTTTCTGCATCATTGTGCGTGTCCAGGATCATTGTGTAAACTATGAGACGATTCAACTCTAGGACCATCGCTTGAACTCAATTATGAACAGCAGTATTTTTTTGCCTTGGCTGGTTTGGCTCAGCAGTTAGAGCGGCGGCCCACAGACCGGAGTCATGGGTTCGATTCCCAGTCAAGGGCACCTACCTCGGTTGAGGTTCGGTCCCTGGCCCTGGTTGGGGTCGTGCGGGAGGCAACCAGTCGACGTGTCTCTCTCACATCAATGTTTCTCTCTCTCTTTCTCCCTGCCACTCTATCTGAAGATAAATGGGAAAATATCCTCAGGTGAGGATTAAAAAAAAGAGAGGAAATAAAGTAATATTCCTGGGCGTGGTGGAGGCCGGCCAGGTCTTGGAGCTGGGCCTCCTTCATTGGCTGGTTCCTCTTGGAATTGCAACCCCAGGTCCCGCCGGCTGCAGTCCAGGGCCTGCTGGGCTTTTCCAAGCACACGTGGGCACAATGTGGGCAGGTGTCTGCAAGGCCCACTCTGCCAGGCTGGAGGCTTGCCCTCCGGGTCGCTCAGCACAGCCTCCGTGTGCTCACTCCAAGGAGCAGGCCATGGTTTCTGTTGCGGACAGGAGGTCACCTGTTGCTGGGAGAGCGCACAGGACAGCCTGCGAGGTTCCTCTTGGTGTGTGTGTGTGTGTGCGCGTGTGTGTGTGCGCGTGTGTGTGTGTGTGCGTGCGCAGTCAGGGCCTGGAGGCAGTGTTAGCCTCACCAAGACAGAGTTACAGAGTCAGATCTGGGAGGGTTTCAGGTGTGTGCCTCCAATGGCTGTATTTTCCAACCCCACATATTTAGGGTCATTTTTCTTCCAGAAGTTACTTAGAGAGGGGAGCTGGCCTTGACACACGCAGCCCGGTGGTGGTCATGTCCGCGGCCCCGCTGCTCCTTGCCCTGTTGACAGCACCACCCACCTGTGCAAGTTAATGAGGCCCGGGAGGGGGCGGGGCAACCTACTGGGCCTTGGAACCAAGTGACCTCGAGGTCTGAGTGCAGCTGCCCAGACGCTCTCCTTCCCGGACCTCACGTTCATGAAAATCCACGCCCCTTTGCTCTGCTCCCTTCTCCCTCCTCCCAGCCCCACCCATGTCCTGGGACCCCGGGTGGGGTGGAGGGAGGTGGCAGTTGTTTCCAAGATGTTGTGAATGGTTTTTCGGAAAGGTTTGGACTGGAAACTGAATCACCCTCCACTACGGTCCCGTGACGGGTTTTTTTGTTTTGTTTTGTTTTTATCCTCACCCGAGGACATTTTTCCATTTTTTGTTCAGGTAGAGTGAGAGGAAGAGAGAGGAACAGAGAGAGAGAGAGAAACATCAATGTGAAAGGGACACATCGAGTGGCTGCCACCCACACGACCGACCAGGGCCGGGGACAAACTGCAACCGAGGTACGTGCCCTTAGCGGGAAACGAACCCGGGTCTCTCCGGACCGCAGGCCGACGCTCTAACCACTGAACCATACCAGCCAGGGCCCGTGACGGGTTTTTAAAGCTCAGAGCGAAGACATGAGGACAGTTTAATGGTCAGAGACTCGGTTCTGCAAGTTAAAGACGCACCTGAGTCCTTGTTCGCGGCAGTGTGGGGACACTGAACATGACTCCCCGTCCTCTTAGAGAGTGGTTAGGTGCTAAAGTTTACGCTGTGTGTCTCACTGTGCTTAAACAGTTTTTTTAATTAAAATTTTTTATTGTTAATGTTTTAAAAGTAAAAATTCTCCAAATGGACTTGTCTGGTTTGGGCTAAAGATCGACACTGATCCAATGCTGGGGCAGAGCTTCTTAAGATAAAATCTTAATAAAGAAGCGTTTGGGTGAGGACACAGCTGCGGACTTCAAGATTCCAGCCTCGGTGATGGACAGGCGATTCCCTGGGGTCCTCTCTGACCCAGTGACTGGCTGCAGGACAAAGTGACTTAGTTGCCTGGACCTGGGCTGCAGGACCATTCCGGTGAGGGTCGGGCAGGTGGCTCCCTCCGAGCACCTGGAGTGGACTCCTCCCAGGAGAAAGGGACCCTCTGTCTCAGAGGGACGGGGACAGGACATCGGCTGAGTACTTGGCCCGGTGTGTGGATTCTGGGCCCAGGAGGGCCGGGCTCAGTCCTCACTCATCTCTACTTAGTGTTAGACTCCCAACCGGTCCCAGACAAACTTGATCCGATCAGAATCCATGGACAGTAAAGAAGGATTTGTTTAAAAAGTGGGCAGGGGTTTTGAGACAGTCTGAAACCCGTGTCCTGTCCCCAGGACCTCTGTTGTCCTAGGCTGGACGCCTGTGGCCGAGCTCGGAGCTCCCTGGATGCGGTTCCGGGATTTCATTCAGTCCCTTCAGAGCCACGGGGCGGAACGTGTGCGTGGATACAAAGGGGCTTTAACGAGTTTCAGAAAGAGGCCCCTGGGACTCGGGAGGACTGAACAGCTCTCAGGACACAGCAGGTCTATAAGTCAAGTGTAAATTAACGTGAAAAGTGTGTGCTGCACCTTTGCTTTGAACAGAGGTTTGGAAATCAAAGGAAGGCGGCTGGCCCGAGGGTGGGGTCCGCCTGCACCCCCAGAAGGAAAGCCTTGGAAAGGGCTGGGGGGCGGCTTTTGGCGAACACTGAATTGCTGTGGCTTTCTTTTCGGGACCGCATGCCAGCTGCCCTCCCACGTGATTTCCCTTTAATGACAGTCATTTGTTTCTAATCGTGTTACTGGCAAACCTCCAGTGAATGTGAAAAGCTGTCTTTTCACTGTTGGGTCTGTATGTGGTTTTCAGCTCAGTGCCCGAGGCCCCAGTTTCCAGGAAGAAGCCAGGCTGTGGGAGAACTCCGGCCAGCCTGGGCCGACAGTCAGGAGCTGCGGCTGGGGGACAGGACGCGGCCGGCTCGGGGGCCGCAGCGTGTACTGCGCCCTGGGTACCGGGCCCCGCGGGCCGCGCTCAGTGCGGTGTCACGCAGCTTCTCAAACGTCCTCGCCCACGGGGTCACCTGGGGTTTTTGAAACTGTGGATTCTGGTTCAGTGGGTCTGGCCGAGGTCTAACAAGTAGCCACGGCACTGATCAGTGGGCCACGTTTGGTGGCACGAATCAGGGAGCGTCCCCGCACTGCCTGTCTCCAGAGATGCCCTGAGCACCTCCTGGACCACCCCCGACCTGCTGTGGCTGCAGCCATGCTGTGTGGGTCCTGGGTGGGCACACGGGCCTGGCTGGAGCCCCGTGCTCTCTAGTCGGAGGGACACCCGAGCTGGCCGCGGTCTCTGGCCGTGTCCTCCACGTGGAGAAGTTGCCGGGCTGGCGAAGGCTCTGTTAGCCTCACTACTTTCTGTTAGGTCGGGAGAAAGACCTCAGGGCCGCTGAATGGTTCTTTCTCCTCCTCCTCCTCCCCCTCCTCTCCTGTCTTCTAAGTGTTGTGCGTGTGTAATGATATAAACAACACATGCTCATACAATTACAAGTGTGCAAGAAAAAAAGTACATTTATATGGAGGGGAATCAAGTCAAGAACAGACGTGTCTGCCACAGACCCCGGAATCGTGGTCCCCAGAGGGACCACTGTTGATACATCCTGACTATGCCTGTCGGGGTCTTCAGGCCCGACAACAGAGCCCCTGCTCCCCCTGGCTGAACGGGTAAGGGAATTCTTCCTCCATGTGACTGGAGGTCCCAAGGAAGGTGAGCTCCAGGGCTGGTTCACTCATTGGCTCCGGACGTTATTGGGGTTCTCTGTGCTGTTCCCGGGAGAGATTCTCACTCCCTCCTCCTCTGTGACATTGACGTCCTTTCCTTCGATCTGGACCCACAAGGGTGGCCAGGGCGTGCTCTGCTCTGATCGGCGTGGACGGGTCATGTTGGACCCCTGGAGCTGGGGACGTGAGGTCTGTTTCTGAGACGTGGAGCAGAGGGGTCCCAAGGGACACGAGCTTCTGCCAGGAAGGGAGACAGAGAACTGAGTGCTGGCAGCCAGCCAGCCGTGTCCACCATGCTTCCCAGGATCTCCAGTGTGCTGCACTCCTTCATTCGACTTCATTCATTCATTCAGTGTGACAGGGTGCCAGACACACAGATGGTTCCAACCAATAGCTGCACGGGGCCGGGGAGGGCGGGGCTGGGGAGCGCGGGGGGCCGGCGAGGGCAGAGCTGCCATGCAGGGCGAAGGCCCTTCTGTGACGTGTCCAGGGTCACGGGCACGTACCCGGAAAAGCAGAGTTGAGCCCAGGAGTCCTGGCTCCAGGCCCTCGCTCTCCATCACCGGGTAATTCTGACCTATAAGAAGCTTCTAGACAGTGTCTCCCTCACCTCTGTGGGAACGTCAGGAGCTGGGGATTGGGCTATGTCCCCCACCATGAATCGGGCACCCAGCGGAGCCACCAAAAGTAACAGAACGATGTCAGGGAATTCAAAACCATGTTTCCCTCCCCAGATCCAAACAACTACTACCACCGGCGGAATGAGATGACCACCACCGACGACCTGGACTTCCAGCACCACAACTATAAGGAAATGCGCCAGGTGAGACCGGGCGTGTCCTTGGGTTTGCTGGGGCCACACACGGGCTTGTGGTTTACGGGCTGAGCGTGAGAAGGCATCACTGGGCCCCGGTGACCAGAGAGAGGCTCCCTCTCAGCGGTGGCTGAAGTCGCATTCGAACCCGGACTTTTCTGCTGTAATCCTCTAGTCCTTCAGAATCTGTGTGCTTGAGGGGTTCACTGCTGTCAGGATGCTGGTCATAGGCGAGTCAGAGAAGAAACAGGATCTAGAATGACGCTGATCATAGTAACCGCAGGAAGCTCTCAGCACCCACAGTAATTCACCGACTCGACCTGTGTGAATGGGTCAGTCCTCCCAGCCATCCTCGGAGGGCGGGGACTTGCTATCCTTATCTTACTGATGGGGAAACCGAGTCACAGTCACGGAGACTTCATAACTTTGTTGTTCAGAGTCTCTGCTGCTCCATCTTGGCTGGTATCAGAACCACCTGGGGGACTTGGACAACTGCCTGTCCTCGAACCCACCCCAGGCCAGTGAAAGCAGAATCTTTAGCAGAAGGGCCTGGTGTCTCCTTATGAGCCTCTGGACAGCCTGGCCCCAGAGCTCCTGGCCGACACCCATAGGGCCCTGGGTACTTTGGTTCTGTCGGAGGAAAAGGTGATCCCGGATGAGTCCCCTCCCCCAACTTAATTCCAGACGCCAAGAAATTCTGAGCTGTGGAAGGCATTTGCATGCCGGGTACGAAAGGGAGAGGGGACAGAACGCTTTTGGGGGACAGGCTAGAAGAGAGTCCCTGTTCTGTTCAGGGTCCGTGCCCAGCACGGTGCTGGCAGGTGCGTGGAGGTGGCGGCTAACGAGACATCCTCAGATGGCAGAGAGCCTGCTTGAAGAGACAGGACAGATAGATGCCTTCGCGGCGACGTTTGCAGGACAAGTCTACCGAGGCCAAACTAACATGGCTCAAAGTGAGGGCTCCGGGGTACTGGGAGAAGCAGCCAGCCGCCCACCACAAGGTCAGGGATGTCGCCGAGGTTGGAGCAATGAGGCAGAGCCCAGAGGACCCTGTGTCTCATCTGAGGGCATCCGCAAACCCGGTGTGTCTCCATGCCGTCTCCCTGGGGACGCTCACGCAGCTTCCAGACACCTGTCACCGCAGGCTCGGGGGTGGGACGTGCCGAAGGAACTGTCCGCTGCCTCACTCTTCAGAAATCACGGCAATGCGTTTGGACTTGAGGCCGTGAGTCACCCGCTCCTCTGCCTTCGGGCTGGTTAGTGGGTTCTGCTCCCCACTCCATCTACAGAGCACTTGTGTTAGCACAACTCAGCTCTGCTCACTGAGCATCTCGGGGCATCTTACCGAGCCCAGGAAGTGGGCAGTCTCAACCCGGTGCAATTCAGGTCAGAAGCAGTAAATCTGAATGCATTGCAAAAGGAGCTAACTGCCCAGATTCCCGGTGGCTGGTGTCTTCAAACAGCCGTCCCACATGCAGACCTGGGCTCTTCTCATGCCAGAGGAGATGGGCAGCTGGTGACCACTGCAGGCAGGTCGATGGTCAGCGCAGCCCGCGTTGGTCCCTCCGAGGTTCCCTCACCTGCGGAGCATCCGTCAGGCCTGCAGGCCGCTCCGGGTGGGGGGTGATTTTCTGCTTGGTCCTGGCTCCCGGGGACGGGAGAGCAGCCAGCCTTCCAGTGATTTCCCATATGGAGTCTGCTACGTTACTGTAGCAATCTTTCTACTCCAGGGGAAACAATGTTAGTTTATCCTAGTCCTGAAGGAGACATTCACAACAAACAAAAAATGAGAAGCAGCAGCAGCAGAGAGGAGAAAACTAGAGAAACTCAGTGCTTGGAGGGGAAACCCTGGGTATGTGTGAGCCCCTGGGCGGGAGGTGTTTCCCAGGGCAGGGACCCCCATGTCAGGCGATGTCCTCGCCAGGGGGAGCCTGGGGATGATGGAGAAGGGCAGGGGCGGGGGCGGGGGACATTGCGAACACTGGCGTCAGAGCGAGGGGATTACTCCCGAGAGCCGCAGGCCTGCACAGTGCAGCATGTTCTCGACTGCTCGGCCGTGTTTGTCGACATGGATGTCACGGTCCTGCATTTGGGCCGTGAGGGCAGAGACTCTCGTGTTGTCACAAAGTCGTAGCGTGTACTAGATAAACGCGTGCATTTGTGGGCATCCCAGGGGAGCTGCGGGGGAGGGGGAGGGAGAGGGAGAAGAGCCCGGCCTGGTTGGCCGTGGTTGCGATGGGCTCTGGCTGAGACGGCGGCCGTCCTCCGGGCGGGCGGGCCTGGGCAGGCAGAGACGGACAGACGGACGAGGGAGCTCCAGGCAGCAGAGCAGGGTGTGGAGGTCGGTGCCGGCGGCATTTTCAGGACCGGCTGGGAGGGATGCTGGCAGGGTGCAGGGAGAGGCTCCGGTGCCCATCAGAGGAGGTTTTCAGGGGAGTGGAGTTTGGACATCGGTCAGAGTCGTATGGAGAGCAGACTGGTGTGCCCAGTCCCCAGGAGGGGCCCTCCCCGGCGGGGAGGCATTTCTAAGGGGACCGGCTGTCCTAGGTCAGCTGTTGGAGGGAGTTGGGGAGGGAGAGGGTCTGGCAGGCTTCCGAGGGCAGAGGGCCCGTCCACAAAGGGAGAAACAGAGGTGGTTCTGTGGGAACAGGTAGCGATTTGCCTCTGGTGCCTGGCACGGGGCTTCGGGTCCGAATGCTCAGAGTCGTGGCTGGTAGGAGGCTGCGGGGCCCAGGAAGAAGTCGAGTGGGAACACGGTGGGAAGAGCCCACCAGTGGTGGTGATTCCCAGGCCCACTGAGGACGGCGGGGACTCAGGCCAGCTGTGGGGCAGCGGCTGAGCCTGCCCCCTGCTCTGAGCCCAGCCTGACCCTGGGGCAGGTGGCGGTGCAGGAAGCCAGGCAGGGCAGCAGGCCTGCAGGCCCAGACGGGCCCACTACCACCTGGGGGGTGCCGCTTACTGTGCCCCTCCCCCTCCCGCCCGGAATTCCGTCTCCACCTGCCCAGGTGCCGTGTCTGTTTCTCCACAAATGAGCAGATGGTGGGAGAGGACTTTTCTCCCTTCCTTTCTAACCTTTTAACCCATGGCGTAAACAGTATACTATCAGCATCAAACCCCAAGTCTAAACGTGAATCATCACAAACCCACAAACTTCAGGAATCCGTGGCTTTTGTTCCGTGGATTTCACCGGGTGTCTGAATGTCTGTGTTCTGGGACTTCAGACGACTTTGTTCAGGAAGGTCACCGCGTGCCCCGCCCCCCTCAGTCGTCCGGGATCACGCTCCATGTCTCACACAGGCTCCTCCTTGTCCTGGTAACTCTGCGGAATGTTCCAGAGAGCGGAGGTCTCACAACCCCCCCCCCCCCCCCGCTCTCCTCCTGCTCCGGGCCGTGGGCGTCACCCAGCTTTGAGCGAACACCCAGAAAGCATGACACACGCCCAGCAGCTGTCACCCTGTCAGCGCCGAGAGCCGTCCCCGTCCACACGGTGCCCGGAACTGAGTCACCAGGGAGGCCCTTGCCAGCAGCGGGGAGGGAAGCGTGTTCCCGTCCCGGAGGCGAGGGAGGGGCGTCCGGGGCTGAGCCTTGCACACCGGGTTCTCTGCGAGGCCGTGATTCTCCGTCTGGCGTCCACGTCCCTCCTCAGCGGGCTTTGTACACATCCGATCATTACCCTCCCACTATTGTGTCGTGTGGTTGCGCTTCGAGGACCCCAAGCGCTGTGAGGGCTGAGACTTTGGCCCCGACGCTGGGCCCCAGGTCAGAACGTCAGGCAGCCGCCCCGTGAGCCCAGGAATCTCAGCACACGCAGCCTGGGCTGCTCAGTCAGGGCCCCGACCTCTCTCCCCTTAGACTGTAAAAAAAAAAGACAACAGCCAACACAGCAATGGCCATCTGGTGTGCGTGCACCAAAATTATACCTCTTTTTTTGGTCACATTGGCAAAAAATATATTCTTTTCATGTGCTGCAGAGTTTACTCGTTAGTCTATGTGCCAGGAGATGCAAAGTGTTGAAAATCCTCGGGCCGTGGAGAGACGCTAGTCCTTCCTTTCAAAGCCCAAACCTGTACCACTGAGGCCCGAGCCCCACAGAGCGTCTCTGACTGTTCTGGGGACGAGGCGAGGCGGGTCGCCCGCTGGGTCTCCGGGTGCTGCTGGAGGGCCCAGAGGCGCGGTGCCGAGAACTGTGAAGACCCTTCCCACCGAGGACCCCTCCGCGGCCAGCCCTCTCTCTCAACCATACACCCTGTGGCCACCGCCCAAGAGGGATGCGGCCGCGGGCAGGGTGTGAAGAGGACCCGGGGGCTCCTGGCTGAGAGCTTCTGGCCGAGAGACTGCCCCCTGCGAAGCGTGCGTCCCAGGGAGGACGGTGTCTTTCCGGCGTCGCACGTGACCTCTGGCACAGTGGCCCCTTTCCCGGCCGCTGGCTGGAGGGCCGGGGCGGGCAGTGAGCAGGGCCAGGCTCTGCGCCGTGTCGCTCTGTGTCTGAGCGCCTGAAGGCCTGGCACTGCGTCACTTGCTGGTCAGGATTTGCTGAGGTCGGTGCTGGGAGTGACGGTCAATCAGCAGGGACGGGCAGTCAGACCCGGATCAGAGGGTGAGCGAGCTTCCTGAGTGGCGGCAGAAGAAATGGAAGCACTTGGTACCGCCGGGGCACCCTGGGCAAACGCTCAGTGTCTCAGCCTGTCGCCACCTCTGTAGAGTGGGGACAACACCTGTGTTCATCTGCTTCATCGGGTCAGGACGGTGAGCTCCCGCAGGAGGGCGGAAGGCAGTCTCGCTGTGGCTGTCACCATGGTCACGGTCACTGCTGTGTCTCTTGCTGAAACGTGGTGCGCCCTGTGTGACCCCCTTTCCACCGCACCACGCTTCCCTCGTGGCGATGGGGAGAAGCCACGTGGCCTGCCTGCTCTTTCTCCACGTGTGGGGGTTCTGCTCTTGTCCTCTTGTGGACAAGAGTCCTATAGAGCCTGCTGCCCTGTGCTCTTCCCTGGACATTGTGGCACACGAGAGAAACTCTCCCCCCAGGGAGGGGCGAGACCCTGAGCTCCTGGCCAGGGCCGCACCCGGACTGCCTCGCAGGCGGGTCCTAGAAACGACTCCGGGCAGCTGGACCCCCGCCCCGCCCCTTCAGAACGCGCGCCGAGGCTTCTCAAGCAGAACGCGGTCGGGAAAGGCAAGCGAGACGCGCGGACTTGAACCCCACTTGTCATGAATTGCACATGACGCCAGTTTGCTAGTCTTCGGGGCTGTTAGCCCACCGTTAAATTTGCAACAGATGTGTTTATTTGTGACTCACAGAGACACTTTACGGACACCTTGGCCGAACAGGGGTTTTGGAAAGATGGTCGGAGCACATCCAGGTCCAGGCTGGTCCTCGGGGCCACGCCTCCCTCCAGCCGGCCCAGCCCCGCTTCCTCATCACCCTAAACGATGCAGCCCTCCCTTCTGGGCACCCGCCTGCCCGCCTCCCCGGCAGGGGGTCCTCACTGCTTCTGCAGCACCGAAGCATCCCGCCTGGCCTTTAACACAGGTCCCGGAGTTGTGCCAGGGACACTCCTGCCGCACCGACGGCTGGCCTGGTGCTGGCTGAGGCGTCCTTGAATCCGAGTCTCTCTCACGGGGATTGCTGAGCATTTCCAGAAACCCAGACTGTGCGACAGGCCACTCATGGTCCTCATTCAGAAATGGAGGCAGGCAGCGTCGGGAGAGGGTGTCCCTGTCCGCCCCGTCCCTAGAGGGCTGTGTGTGGCCCGTAACAGGTGGAGCCCTGCTCTCTGGGCGGAGTCTCACTCCTGCAGACGCGGTAGGTCTGATGGGCCCTGCTTGACGGTTCGGAAAACAGCGCATCTGTCTCGCTTCCTCCCGGAAGCCTGCTTCCCCCACGCTGACCGCACGACTCCCGTTCTCATGGCCTCCGGGTCCCCCTTCCAGCACCAGTGACGTGGGTCATGCACTGTGGCTGCACTGTGACCTCCGGGGGCCGGGCAGTGTCTTTCTCCTCAGGCTGACATCATAGATGTTCATTACATGATAAAGGAAAGTTGCTATTCAGTAACAAGTATTTGCTTAGGCAGGGATACAGATCAAAGGCTCGGTCCATCCCTAAAAGGGTCTGCTGTCTAGTGAGGGGACAAAAGAAAGCAGGAAAACACAATGAAAGGTAGTAGCCAGGGCCAAGGGAGGTGATGGCCAAAGGGAGGTGATGGCCACGGGTCAAAGGGACGTGATGGCCAAAGGGAGGTGGTGGCCACAGGTCAAAGGGAGGTGATGGCCAAAGGGAGGTGGTAGCCACAGGGAGGTGATGACCACGGGCCAAGGGAGGTGGTGGCCAAAGGGAGGTGGTGGCCACAGGGAGGTGATGACCATGGGCTAAGGGAGGTGACAGCCACGGGCCAATGGAGGTGATACCTTGGTTATCAGGGAAGCAATAGCCACAGCCAGGGGGTGCTGGGGGGCAAGGCAGGGCCCCAAGGAGAACACTGCAGGCAGAGAGGACAGCGCTGGTGTGTGGTGAGGGGGGGGTGCCAGGGGGCTGGGGGAGGGGAGCAGGTGGCTGTCCTCTGGGAAGTCCCGCACCCTTCAGTGCCCAGCCGTTGCTCAGAGCCCCAGCCCCTCTTGTTTCCCAGCTGATGAAGGTTGTGCATGAAATGTGTCCCAACATCACCAGAATCTACAACATCGGCAAGAGCCACCAGGGCCTGAAGCTGTACGCCGTGGAGATCTCCGACCACCCCGGGGAGCACGAAGTCGGTGAGGTCGCCCCTCTGGGATGCCCGTGGCCCTTCATGTTGGTCCCTTCCTAAAGAGGGGACAGTTTACCCATGAGACCAGCCATGACGCAGGGCAGGGGCTGTCCACGCACCACTCTCTCTTAGACAGATTCTGCAAAATGCGGTTCTGTGACCCTCCCGTCTCGGGATATGGCTGTTGGCTCATTTAAACTAGAAACACCTTCTTTTCCTGCCAGTGGACCATTTGCAACCCTGCTCTCTGGCCCTGAGACCAGGCGCACTGACCAGAGAAGAAAATGACCGGGAGCGGTGAGGACAGGGTCCTTTTCTGGAAGAAACGTCCCGACTCTCTGGTCATTAGTGGCTCCAGTTAAAGGAGGTTCTTAATTTTAAACAGTTTCAATCCCATTTTGCAAGTGTTTCCTATTTTTAGCCATTCCCATGAGTCACTCCCCAGCCTCTGTCCGCCTCCAGGTCAGGAGGCTTCTGGGAGTTGCTTCTTGGTAAATCTGTGAGCCCTTAGAAACCCCTGAGACTCCGAGATGTGCCCGACTCGTCCAGCTGCACCTCGTCCATCAGCTCAGCAGGGCTTCCTCCCAGGGCTTGTCTGGTGGCGAGGCGGCATGTCCTCCAAAGCGGTGGCTTGGTGAGGGGTGGGAAGAAGTGCGGTCCCTGGGTGCCCAGCGCTGACGAATCCGGCCGGCAAAGCCGAGCCCTGCGGAGAGACGGCTCAGACACAGCCCCTTCCCAACTGTTGTCCTCGCCGGCTTCCCTGCCCCGCTGTCCCTGCTCGTGAAATTTAGAAGGAATGTCTTCCAAGAACAATTGCTTCCCACACGAGAAACACAATTGCTGTGGCTCGTGTTTAATTTGTCCATGTGAACCCTTGGCACTGTGTTCTTTTATCCATCCTTGCTAAATGGGAACAACCATGATGTCATCTCAGATTTTTCTACATGTGTCATATCGACTTATTTGGGAATAAAAGTTTATGCTGGTGCCCTGGCCGGTTTGGCTCAGCGGTTGGAGCGTCGGCCCGTGGACCAGAGAGGCCCGGGTTCGGTTCCCGCTAAGGGCATGTACCTCGGTTGTGGTTTGTCCCCGGCCCCGGTTGGGTCGTGTGGGTGGCAGCCAGTCGATGTGTCTCTCTCACATCGATGTTTCTCTCTCTCTTCCTCCCTCCCTCCTGCCCTATCAGAAGATAAATGCAAAAATGTGCTCAAGTGAGGATAAAAAAAGGGAGGTTTAGACTGATGACGTGTTGGAGGTTGCTGACAGAGCAGAGAGGGCTGAGATGTATCCCTCAGAGACCTGATTCCTAGCACGGCGGCTCAGAGCCGTCGGGCTGCAGCGTCCGCTCTGACCGTCTCCCTCTCTGCGTCAAGGTGAGCCCGAGTTCCACTACATCGCGGGCGCCCACGGCAACGAGGTGCTGGGCCGCGAGCTGCTGCTGCTGCTCACGCAGTTCCTGTGCCAGGAGTACCTGGCAGGCAACGCGCGCATCGTCCGCCTGGTGGAGGAGACCCGCATCCACATCGTCCCCTCCCTCAACCCCGACGGCTACGAGAAGGCCTACGAAGGGGTAATGGCCCCACGCCCCACCCCCCGGTCAGCTCACAGCCACACCCGGGCCCTGGCCGGCCGCTCAGTGGGTTAGAGCGTCGACCCCATACGCCAGGGTTGCGGGTTCCCTCCCGGCCAGGGCCCGTGCAGGGATGAACCGATGATCGCAGGAAGACGGGAGCAACAGACCAGTGTTTCTCTCTCCTCCCTCAAAAAACAACCCCACAAAATCAATAAACGGAAACCCACAGGCACAGCTTCCTGCTGAGTCTCTGCCCAGGCAGGGTACCTCGAAGGTTATGAAAAATACAGAACTGGGATTGGGCGTCACGGGGACCCCGAGAGGGGCGCTTGCCCCAGGCTGGGGGAAGCGGCCGCGGATAAAGCTGCTCTGTGTGCAGCGATGGTGACAGGGAAGAGTGACGGCCCCTCGTGTGAGCGTGCGTCAGGGCACCGCTGGCCTGGACCGGTCCTCTGAGGAGAGGCGTTCCATTATTCTGAGGGGTCGCTTCTATCTCGCGTTCTGAGGCAGAGTTTGGTAGGGCACAGTTATGTACAGGATGTGCGTGTGTGGAGTTACGTGTGGAGTGGTGTGAGTATTGCCTGGGACGAAATGGAAAACTGTACTTAAGGAGCGGTACCTGCCAAACACCAGCGGCACGGCCGGATGCGGGCTGCACTGACCGGCACAGACAGGCGCCTGCTCTGCCCTGCGCTAGGGACGTGTCAGCCCGACGGGGGCCGCCAAAGAGGCTGCAGATGGCGCAGTAATGGACTTTTAGATCCATCAGGACGCAGTCCCATCCGACCCGTGTGGGTCTCAGAGCAGATGAGGGAAGCGGGGACCCGGTGCTCTCTGAGCACTGCCACATGCGGGAGTCAGGCTCTTTGGGGTGATCTGGCTGTATTCTCCACCCCCACCAAATACTGTTGGAGGGGTTCCGATACTCTCCTGTGCATGCCACCTTTGGGTCAGAGGGTGTGTAGAGGCTCAGAGACACGCCCCAGAGGGAGAAGGAGGCATCCTGTGGGAGCTGGGTCCGCGCTGCCGGAAGTCTGGGGGTTCCTCTCACCCTGCACTGTGTTCCAGGGCTCGGAGCTGGGAGGCTGGTCCCTGGGACGTTGGACCCACGACGGGATCGACTTCAACAACAACTTCCCCGACTTGAACACGCTGCTCTGGGAGGCTGAGGACCGACAGAACGTCCCAAGGAAAGTGCCCAACCACTACATCGCCATCCCCGAGTGGTTCCTGTCGGAGAATGCCACGGTGAGTGGCGCGCCGTGGCCTGCAGGGCCGTGGGGGCCCGTCAGCACCCACCGGTGTTCGCAGAGGACATGACAGGAAGGACAAGACAGAACTGCTGTCTGTTCTCCAACACCGGGAAGTGTGCTAGAGAATAAAACACCTTTTTTTTTTATTTGAGGAGATTCTTTATAAAAATCATTTAATTATATTGCTTTACAAGAACATGGTGCTTAAAAAAAAAAAAAAAAATCCCCGATGTGGGCCCGTCTGTAAGTACCGTCCTTACCCCATCCTGGTGGTTCTACTTCTGTGAAACTGTCCCTGGCCCTCGCCGACTGCCTGAGAGCCCTCACTTGCACCGTGATACGCCCCGTGGGTTTATTTCGTGGGGAGCTCCTGCGGAAGGAATCATCCGATGGAGTAGAACGTGCTTCCGCCAGATTTCTCCCGTCTGCTTTCACAGAGGGTACGTTGCAGAGGAAATAACTTTCCCAGTTTCTGGGGCCTTTGGTGGCCTTCTTTGCCCTTGGTCGTCACCCTGGGCTTTGAATGTGTGTGTCCGTCACGAGGTCTAGACAAGTGGGTGTTCAGGGCGGCGGCCACAACAGCAGAGACACGTGCCAGCAGCTGAGCGAGGGAGACGTTTGTTTCTTTTCTCACATAGAAGGACCCGGGAGGCGGCTGTACATATAGGTGCCCCGTGGTCCTCAGGAACTAAGGAGGCATCATCTTTCTGCCTCCGCCTGGTTGGCATGTGACCTTCATCCTCAAGGTCATAATCCAGGTGCGGCGGCTGCGGGGTCGTGGAGGAAGAGGAGAGGAAGGGTTGGAAGAGGCCCTCCCCTCGGAGAAGCCGGCTCCCTTGAAGAGGAGCTCCTAGAACGCCTGCCTGATGCTTCTGTCTGGGGCCAGGATGGAGTCAGAGATGATGCCCACCCCTGGTGGGCAGGGCGGGACTTGGCATGCGTTAGGCAGACACATTGCAGGCTCGGTGAGATCAATTCCGACGTTTGTTTCCCACTATCGATTGTATTCTACGGGCATCTGTTCCGAGGGGTCGGGAACTTATGGCAAATACCTGATGCTCTGGTCAGTATTTGACGATATCCAGCTTCCCAGTGTTAGTGTCTTGGTTCCGAGGGTCATCGGGAACCTCGTCGGTCTCCTTCCTTCCTGAACGTTCGTTGTTGCCCAGCGTCCAGCATCAGAGAGAAAGCTCGTGAAGGGCTCCGTGTGCCCGTCTCCGCCTCGACACCTACGGCTCTCGCTGCACCTGCTTCTCCGTCCTCACCTTCCTCCTCCTCCACCTCGACACCTACGGCTCTCGCTGCACCTGCTTCTCCGTCCTCACCTTCCTCCTCCTCCGCCTCGACACCTACGGCTCTCGCTGCACCTGCTTCTCCGTCCTCACCTTCCTCCTCCGCCACCTCGACACCTACGGCTCTCGCTGCACCTGCTTCTCCGTCCTCACCTTCCTCCTCCGCCACCTCGACACCTACGGCTCTCGCTGCACCTGCTTCTCCGTCCTCACCTTCCTCCTCCTCCGCCTCGACACCTACGGCTCTCGCTGCACCTGCTTCTCCGTCCTCACCTTCCTCCTCCGCCACCTCGACACCTACGGCTCTCGCTGCACCTGCTTCTCCGTCCTCACCTTCCTCCTCCGCCACCTCGACACCTACGGCTCTCGCTGCACCTGCTTCTCCGTCCTCACCTTCCTCCTCCTCCGCCTCGACACCTACGGCTCTCGCTGCACCTGCTTCTCCGTCCTCACCTTCCTCCTCCGCCACCTCGACACCTACGGCTCTCGCTGCACCTGCTTCTCCGTCCTCACCTTCCTCCTCCGCCACCTCGACACCTACGGCTCTCGCTGCACCTGCTTCTCCGTCCTCACCTTCCTCCTCCGCCACCTCGACACCTACGGCTCTCGCTGCACCTGCTTCTCCGTCCTCACCTTCCTCCTCCTCCGCCTCGACACCTACGGCTCTCGCTGCACCTGCTTCTCCGTCCTCACCTTCCTCCTCCTCCACCTCGACACCTACGGCTCTCGCTGCACCTGCTTCTCCGTCCTCACCTTCCTCCTCCGCCACCTCGACACCTACGGCTCTCGCTGCACCTGCTTCTCCGTCCTCACCTTCCTCCTCCTCCGCCTCGACACCTACGGCTCTCGCTGCACCTGCTTCTCCGTCCTCACCTTCCTCCTCCGCCACCTCGACACCTACGGCTCTCGCTGCACCTGCTTCTCCGTCCTCACCTTCCTCCTCCGCCACCTCGACACCTACGGCTCTCGCTGCACCTGCTTCTCCGTCCTCACCTTCCTCCTCCTCCGCCTCGACACCTACGGCTCTCGCTGCACCTGCTTCTCCGTCCTCACCTTCCTCCTCCGCCACCTCGACACCTACGGCTCTCGCTGCACCTGCTTCTCCGTCCTCACCTTCCTCCTCCTCCACCTCGACACCTACGGCTCACGCTGCACCTGCTTCTCCGTCCTCACCTTCCTCCTCCGCCACCTCGACACCTACGGCTCTCGCTGCACCTGCTTCTCCGTCCTCACCTTCCTCCTCCGCCACCTCGACACCTACGGCTCTCGCTGCACCTGCTTCTCCGTCCTCACCTTCCTCCTCCTCCGCCTCGACACCTACGGCTCTCGCTGCACCTGCTTCTCCGTCCTCACCTTCCTCCTCCGCCACCTCGACACCTACGGCTCACGCTGCACCTGCTTCTCCGTCCTCACCTTCCTCCTCCGCCACCTCGACACCTACGGCTCTCGCTGCACCTGCTTCTCCGTCCTCACCTTCCTCCTCCGCCACAGGCGCCACCTCGCTGCACCCGTCACTCTCCGGTGTCTCGCAGAGAGGGGACTCTTAACCCTGGAGATTACGCCCTGGCCGGTTTGGCTCAGCGGTTAGAGCGTCGGCCTGCAGACCAGAGGGTCCCGGGTTTGGTTCCCGCTAAGGGCATGTACCTCGGTTGCAGCTTGTCCCCGGCCCAGGTTGGGGTCGTGTGGGTGGCAGCCACTCGATGTGTCTCTCTCACATTGATGTTTCTCTCTCTCTCTCTTCCTCCCTCTCTCCTTCCCACTTTATCTGAAGATAAATGCAAAGATGTCCTCAGGTGAGGATAATAAAAAAACAAAAAAGAAATACTTCATGTTCAGATGATAATTTCTAGTTCTATTATTATTATTATTTTTTTATTTCTTCACCCTCACCCGAGGACATTTTTGCATTTATCCTCAGATAGAGTGGGAGGAAGAAAGGGAGGAAGAGAGAGAGAGAGAAACATCGATGTGAGAGAGACACATTGAGTGGCTGCCACCTACATGACCCCAACCTGGGCCGGGGACAAACTGCAACCGAGGTACATGCCCTTAGTGGGAACCGAACCCGGGTCTCTCTCATCCGCGGGTTGATGCTGTAACCGCTGAGCCAAACCGGCCAGGACAATAAGGAAGTATTTCTTAATATTAAATGTGTCTAGCCAGTCTTCACATTTCGCTATCATTCTTCCCTCAGCCCGTTTACAGCAGGATCCGAGTACAGCGCGTTCACTTTGATTGGTTTATGATCTTTCAAGTCTCACTTAAATGACAGTCTTCTCTGTCGCTTCCTTTTCCCTTGCAGTTTAAGTGCGGCTGATGTTGTAACGAGGCCATGAAAGCGAGTCTGGTAGCGTTTCCACCGTCTGGGCCCAGCTAACTGTGTTCCGCGGTGTCCTGTAACACAGTCCTCTGTTTCTTGTAAACTGGCTGTGAAGTCAGGGCAGACGAGGCTAATTAGAACAGAGCTTGGCAGACTCCTCCTGGGCCACATCCCCCCGAGCTGCTTTTGTCAACGGCGTGTGGTTGGAACCCAGCCGCGTCGTTCATGCGCCTGCGTGTTGTCTGCGGCGCCTCCCTGCAGCTCCCCACGGCAGAGACCCTCCGCAAAGTCAGAAATGTGTGCCGCTGCCCGGCCCGCCCCGGGAGTCCGGCCTCCAGGCTGGTCTCCTTCCGGGCGGCTGCGTTTCAGGCCTGTGCTCTCCCATCGGGGACACGCCGTGGCTGTGTCTCCGTCTGGACACTTTGTAGCCATCGCTGAACGCAGAGTTGCAAAATGCGGATACTCTAATTCGAGCCTCCTCTCTGTCACCAGCTGGCCTATTCCTACAGAAAGAAATTTCTCTTTCTCTTTTCAAGGTCCGTTATTTCTGCAGAGTCTGGTTTCACCAGGACAGATTTTAAGATGCCACATTTTGCTGAGATTCTGCCATAAAGTGATGGCCCTTTCAACCTTGTCCCTGTTTGGGTGGCTAGGGAAGAAGGCAGCTCCTCCTGTCCTGTTCATCCAAGCGTGTTCCCCTTGGAATGCTCACAGGTGGCGGTGGAGACCAGGGCCGTCATAGCCTGGATGGAGAAGATCCCCTTCGTGCTGGGCGGCAACCTGCAGGGGGGCGAGCTGGTGGTGGCGTACCCCTACGACATGGTGCGCACCCTGTGGAAGACGCAGGAGCGCACCCCCACCCCGGACGACCACGTGTTCCGCTGGCTGGCCTACTCCTACGCCTCCACGCACCGCCTCATGACCGACGCCAGGAGGAGGGTGTGCCACACGGAAGACTTCCAGAAGGAGGACGGGACTGTCAACGGGGCTTCCTGGCACACTGTGGCCGGAAGTAAGTCTCTGGCCCCCTGGCTGCACCTCAGGGCCCAGTGATAATGGGCTGCAGGGACGGGGAGGGACCCTGTGGGCCACCTCCTCCCAGCCCTCCTGTCATCACGATCAGACTAACAGCTCCCCGTAGCGAACCATTCGTGCTGCAGAAATTCTCCTTTGCTCCTTGCCAGTCTTGGAGGGGGCGTGGCTTATTCCTGTTTTACAAATGAGATGGGTAGAGTTTGGGCACTACAAGGGGTGTCCAAGAAAGGGGCAGAGTTGGGGTCGGTTAGACTCCGTGGTCTGCTCTTAGCCACTGAGCATTTCAGCTTTTATAGGGTCAGAGATGGGTAGGTGTGGACTTGGGGAAGTATTGGGTCATAAAACAAATTCAGCAAAGGGGCAGAGAGCATGCTGGTGCTGTGCCCACCGTGGGCGATGCCTGTGCTGCAGGTGGCGGAGGGCGTGCTGGTGCTGTGCCCACTGTGGGCGACACCTGTGCTGCAGGTGGCGGAGGGCGTGCTGGTGCTGTGCCCACTGTGGGCGACGCCTGTGCTGCACCTGGCAGAGGGTGTGCTGGTCCTGTGCCCACCGTGGGCGACGCCTGTGCTGCAGGTGGCACAGGGTGTGCTGGTGCTGTGCCCACTGTGGGTGACGCCTGTGCTGCAGGTGGCACAGGGCGTGCTGGTGCTGTGCCCACTGTGGGCGACACCTGTGCTGCACCTGGCAGAGGGTGTGCTGGTCCTGTGCCCACCGTGGGCGACGCCTGTGCTGCACCTGGCAGAGGGCCCTGGACCCCACGCTCAGGTGGGAAGTGACTCCGAGCTGCAGGTGTGTCCTGAGGCCCGACAGGTGGTGAAGACTCCCAGCTGCGCCATGGCACCCGTGGGAGCCCAGTGGGAGTGACGAGGGAGCGCGTGGGGTTGCTCCGGCCCGCGCAGGACCGAGGCCTTCCTGGGGAGATGTCCTGCGGAGTCTTCAGGGATCCAGAGAGCCCTGTGGTCCAAGTTTCAGGAAAGCACTTTGCTTCTTAGGTTAGGGCGACTCCTGGCCCAGGACTCCCAAATGAGAGGGTTAAGGATGTCACACTCTCTGAGGTCCCTCTGTGTTGGGGTGACAGGACCCCGAGCCTACTGTTTATTGTTCATTTTTCTTGACCTTTTGAGGACTGGTCAAGCCACTGATGAATTTGGAAAATATCCCAAGTCAGATAGGCCTAGATTCAAATTCTGGTTCATCAGTTGGATGCTGTGTGACCTGGGGCAAGTTGCTTTACCTCTCTGAACCCCCAGATGTTTCATTTGTAAAATGGGCATGATGATACTGGTGATGATGGTCCCTCTAGGACTGTTGTGGGATCACGTAGGTGACAGAGGTGTGTTTTCCTGTCTGGCTTGTTGAAAACACCCAGAGGTGATAAGTCCCCACCCCACGATACCCACAAAACCTTCATGAGCAGACCCGTAGCCCCATTTCACCTGCTCGTAACGTTCATAGTATCGTACTGCACTGGAGAGTCAGCCTTCATGCACTTCTCAGCGATGTTTCCATCCTTGGGGAAATAAAAATAAAAAGGTAGCGGAAGTACAGTCAGCCCCCGTGTATTGCGGTGAATCAGTTCAGAGTCTACCGCGATAAATGAATTTCCACGTAGTAGCATCCTTTGCTGATACAGTCGTCCCCGCCACTTCGCGCTCCGACTTTTGTGCCTTCACTCTATCGCGGTTTTTTCAGATACTGTTATATGAGAAATACTGTTCTATATGTGAAATACTGTGCTGTATTTGAAATACTGTATTGTATTTGAAAAACCCGCCAGAGTGAAGCCGCAAAGGTCGGAGCAGAGTGGTGAGGGACGACTGCATTTGTTTCTGTGGCGTTTGAGAACCCGGGCGTCTGCCTGTCTGTGGTTATGTGTCCAGATGAAGCTTTTTGGTCTCTGTCAGTTCTCTGTACAAAATAAAAAATAAGTGCGAATTCCTGTCCGTCCAGGAGACTTCCTGGTAGTGAAAAGTATGCCTGCTTCTCTGTTCTAGCCCCAAACCTACTGGTCTTGACGGGAAATGCGTATGTTTTCGGGCTGCCGGGCCTGATTCGGGTGGGGACACAGCCACGGTCCCCCGCGCCGGTCAGCAGGACGGTCTGAACAGCTGGCCCCGCAATGCGTCGGTGCGTCGGACGTTTCTGTCAGTTCTGTTTCCGTTACTGCGGGACGTTTGTGGCAGAGCCGCCGGCGCCGTGGCCTCTGCTCGTCCTTCCTCCTGGCGGTTCCATGAAGCGTGTGGCTCATCGCTCTGTGGGTGAAGGACGCGTGGTTTCCATTCCCTGCCTCCCCGCCCTCCGCTGACTTTCTGCGGAGCCGGCTCTCGTGTCTGCTGGGCGCCCACAGGCGCTGGGTGACGGACAGCGGGGTCCGTGCGCCTCAACAGGGCATGGTCTGTGGTGTGCACGTTTGACCCCAAGGTGACCTTAGACCCTCTTGGGCCTGTGTCCTCCCCACAGAGTCGGGCACCCCGAGCTCTGTCCTGTGTTGAAGCTGGTGACCAGAGGGCTCCAGGCCAGGGAGGTGTCACCGACCCGCCAGGTGTGCTGGGAGGAGCTCTCCTGCCTACACCTGCTGCGGCCAGGTCAGGTGCCCTCTGTGATTCCGCGGCTTGGGTTCGACCGAGGGAGCGGACCCGGCCTTTGGATGAACCTTCTTCCACCAGCCCAGGCCCCTGCGAAGGATCTCCGTTACCCCTGCGCTGTCCCGCTCTATTCCGTGGCTCTTGTGTCCTTGTGTGTCACACACATGTCATAGCTGATGACGTGTGGACGGTTTGAGTCCGGAACCTGGTAGCGTGACCGTCTCGTTTGTGCCATTTCGCCTGTGACTTTAGAGATCAGGCAGCAGGTGGCTACAGAGTGGCCCTTGAGCTCTGGCCTCGAGTACGAAGCGACGCATCACTGAGCGTCTCGGTGAGCGAAGTAAGGAGGGAGGGGAGGCAGGACGGTGAGGCCCGAGGCTGGTCGAAGCGCAGGAGAACCTGCTGCGTATCTCGGGCAACACAGAGAAGCCCAGCCCACCCCTCCGGCCTCTGCCGGGACCCTCAGAGCCATGGAGGGCTCCCCAGAGGCACCTCCCGCTGGGTCAGCCTCCTGGCGACCATGCAGAACGTCACCGCTCTGTGTTCTTGCTCTTCACCCTCTTCTCCAAAAACAAGAGAGCCACTGGGACGCCATGCCACCGAACATTCATTTATTCATTTCCCAAATATTGGGTACTGTCGTGGGTGGACTGGTGGCCCCCGTCCCCAAATCTATGTTTGCCTCTCGATCTCCAGAACCTGTGACTGTGACCTCATTTGGAAAACGGGTCTTTTGCAGATGTAATTAAGTTAATGGTGTCAGGATGAGGTCATTCTGGGCTGCCTGGATGGGCCCTAAAATCACCGACAAGTGTCCTTACGAGAGACGGAGGAGGAGGAAACACAGACACAGAGGACAGGGCCATGTGAAGACAGAGGCACAGACTGGGGCCAGGCAGCCACAAGCCAGGGGCCACCAGGGGCCGTCAGAAGCTGGAATCGGCAGGAAGGGGCTTCCCTAGAGCCTTGGAGGACCCCAGCCCTGGTCACACCGTGGTCTCACCCTCCGGCTCCAGGACTGTGGGCGGGTACATTTCTATTGGCTGAAGCCCTTGGTGTGTGGTCACTGGTACCAGCAGCCCCGGGAGATGAGTCCAGGGACCAGTTCCAGGTCCGGCTGGGCCCTTTGCATCCGGTTGGGGTCATGTCAGGATGGCGAGGCCTGTGTGCTTTGGGGCTTGGCGGGGGTGCCTCTGCCCCAGCCCCCAGGCGCCGCTCGTGTGGAGGTGCAATCAAGGGCTGTGTTCACACGCCCGGGGGCAACCCGACTGTTGCCCTTGCCAGCCACAGGGCTCTGGACACATTTCTCAGCCTTGTCTGCCCTGCTGGTCTTCACTGTGCAGCTGCGCCACGCTGCCTGTCTCTGCTGGCGACGGCCAGCGCCCCAGCGGACGCAGAGCGCACGTCCCGGCGCGGCAGGGGCTCAGGGGGCCGGGCTGTGGTCGGCTGCGTTTATGAATCGAGATGGAAAACGGTTACAGAGCCGTAGCTGGGAGCAGCATCACGACAGAGATCACTTTGATTAAACCTGGAAATCCTTCCTGTTCATCAGTGACACCCGTATGCTGAGAGTAGTGTTGGACCGAGTTTAACAAAATGAGAGGCTTTTATCTGGACAGCAGCCGTTTCAGTCCTGAGGAGCCTGTCCCCCCCCCCCCAACACGCGCTCGAATGGAGATGTTGTCTGTGGTGATGGCGCCGCCTCGGCCAGGCCCCGCCGTCCGGCTGCGTCCCCACTGCCGCTGGGGCACTGCTCAGTGACACGCTGTCCCTCGGCCAGGCCCCGCCGTCCGGCTGCGTCCCCACTGCCCCTGGGGCACTGCTCAGTGACACGCTGTCCCCTCGGCCAGGCCCCGCCGTCCGGCTGCGTCCCCACTGCCCCTGGGGCACTGCTCAGTGACACGCTGTCCCCTCGGCCAGGCCCCGCCGTCCGGCTGCGTCCCCACTGCCCCTGGGGCACTGCTCAGTGACACGCTGTCCCTCGGCCAGGCCCCGCCGTCCGGCTGCGTCCCCACTGCCCCTGGGGCACTGCTCAGTGACACGCTGTCCCCTCGGCCAGGCCCCGCCGTCCGGCTGCGTCCCCACTGCCCCTGGGGCACTGCTCAGTGACACGCTGTCCCTCGGCCAGGCCCCGCCGTCCGGCTGCGTCCCCACTGCCCCTGGGGCACTGCTCAGTGACACGCTGTCCCTCGGCCAGGCCCCGCCGTCCGGCTGCGTCCCCACTGCCCCTGAGGCACTGCTCAGTGACACGCTGCCCCTCGGCCAGGCCCCGCCGTCCGGCTGCGTCCCCACTGCCCCTGAGGCACTGCTCAGTGACACGCTGCCCCTCGGCCAGGCCCCGCCGTCCGGCTGCGTCCCCACTGCCGCTGGAGCACTGCTCAGTGACACGCTGTCCCTCGGCCAGGCCCCGCCGTCCGGCTGCGTCCCCACTGCCCCTGAGGCACTGCTCAGTGACACGCTGCCCCTCGGCCAGGCCCCGCCGTCCGGCTGCGTCCCCACTGCCGCTGGAGCACTGCTCAGTGACACGCTGCCCCTCGGCCAGGCCCCGCCGTCCGGCTGCGTCCCCACTGCCCCTGAGGCACTGCTCAGTGACACGCTGTCCCTCGGCCAGGCCCCGCCGTCCGGCTGCGTCCCCACTGCTCAGTGGCACGCTGCCCCTCGGCCAGGCCCCGCCGTCCGGCTGCGTCCCCACTGCTCAGTGGCACGCTGACCCCTCGGCCAGGCCCCGCCGTCCGGCTGCGTCCCCACTGCTCAGTGGCACGCTGCCCCTCGGCCAGGCCCCGCCGTCCGGCTGCGTCCCCACTGCTCAGTGACACGCTGTCCCCTCGGCCAGGCCCCGCCGTCCGGCTGCGTCCCCACTGCTCAGTGACACGCTGACCCCTCGGCCAGGCCCCGCCGTCCGGCTGCGTCCCCACTGCTCAGTGGCACGCTGCCCCTCGGCCAGGCCCCGCCGTCCGGCTGCGTCCCCACTGCTCAGTGACACGCTGCCCCTTGGCCAGGCCCCGCCGTCCGGCTGCGTCCCCACTGCTCAGTGACACGCTGCCCCTCGGCCAGGCCCCGCCGTCCGGCTGCGTCCCCACTGCTCAGTGACACGCTGCCCCTTGGCCAGGCCCCGCCGTCCGGCTGCGTCCCCACTGCTCAGTGACACGCTGCCCCTTGGCCTGCAGGTCTCAACGACTTCAGCTACCTTCACACCAACTGCTTCGAGCTGTCCATCTACGTGGGCTGCGACAAGTTCCCGCACGAGAGCGAGCTGCCCGAGGAGTGGGAGAACAACCGCGAGTCCTTGATCGTGTTCATGGAGCAGGTACGGCGCGGCCGCGCCCAGGGCGAGCCGAGGACCGGCTCCTCGGGCTGAACGCGGCAGACCCGCGCAGTGCTTCATTCACACTGCGGCCGCGGCCGAGCGCCAGCGTGCTGGGCCGCCGCTCCGGGGGGGAAGGACCCTGTCTCTTTGCTCCTGCTCGGGCCCCGGCAGGTGAGCTCCGAGCTCATGCTGATGCTCCCCCGGCTCAGGATGGGGGAGACTAGTCGGGGGTTCAGACACTGCTCTGTGGGGAGGGAGGTGACGTGCCCAGGCCCCTTGTCTGCCGGGGCTGCGTAACCAAGGACCCAGGCTGGGGCCTAAGCACCGGAAATGACAGCTCCGGAGGCCGGCAGCCTGAGACTGCGGTGTCCCAGGTCGGTTTCCCTGGAGGCCTCTCTCCTGGGCGGCGGGCCGCCTTCTCCCTGGGACTCACGTGGCCTTCCCCGTGGGCATACGGTCCTGGTGTCTGTGTGTCCAAATGTCCTCCTCTCATCAGGACACCAGTCAGATGGATTAGGGCCCACCCCGGTGACCACATTTTAACGTCAGCACCTCTTCAAAGATGGTATCTCCAGCCCTGGCCAGTTCGGCTCAGTGGTTAGAGTGTCGGCCCACGGACCAGAGAGACCCGGGTTCAGTTCCCACTAAGGGCGTGTACCTTGGTTATAGTTTGTCCCCGGCCCCAGATGGGGTCATGTGGGTGGCAGCCACTCAATGTGTCTCACATTGGTGTTTCTCCCTCTTCCCCCTTCTCTCCCTCCCACGCTATCTGAAAATAGATACAAAAATGTCCTCGAGTGAGGATAAGAACAATAAAGACGCTATCTCCAAATAGTCACCTCTTAAGGTGCTGGGAGTGAGGACTTCAACGTATGAAATTCGGCCCTAACAGCCCTCAGGCTGCAGAGTCCCTCCAGCGAGGGGCGGGGTGTCCGGGAGCACCGAGGTGCCGAGGTTGTGCTCCCGGTGGGCTGGGCTGGGGTGGAGGGAAGCGGCCACACACCCGAGGAGCCCTGCACCCCCTCCCTTCCTCCTGCCCTCAAGGACAGGCTCACCTCGCAGCACTGAGCCAGCTGGTTGGCGTTTGGTGCTACAGCGACCCGAATAGCGTCCACGCCCCACTGGGGGAAAGAACTAGAAACCAGAGGAACAGCAACAACGGGTGTTTGACCTGGTCCCTGACTGTGATTCCCGTCCGTTCGGAAGTCGGATCCCAAGGCTGCACAGGGAGGCCGCTCCTTCCTGGGTGGCCTGCAGGAGTCGGAGCAGCTTCCAGCCGGTGGCCGGGCACAGGGCCGCGCCGTGGCAGAGGTCGGCCTGGGCTCCAGCGCCCCAGGCTGCCCCGTGAGGGTCCACAGTGCACTGAGCTCTCCCCCGTGGGGGCCATGAGCACGCGTCCTGTCCCCACCCTGGGGTTCTGTGAGCCAATGAGAGCGAGAATCCCTAATCCTTCTCCAGTCATGATCCCAGTGTAGCCAAAGAACCTCCTATGCGTAAAACAGCCAGACACAGAAACGGGTACAAAGAATGTCTTGGGAAATGAGGCCCTGTCACCTCAGTTGTCACCTCTCACCACAGAGAGGAAACCGAGGCACAGGGTGTGTGACACCGCTCATCAGTGGAAGGGACATCCGTCTCTTCTTTCCTCTGTGCGAGTCTACACAGCTCAGGAAATGAAAATAAACGCATGCATAAAATTTTCATTTTTAGTGGATGTTTTATTTTTAAAATTTTTTCCCTTTATTATTTTGAGAGAGAGAGGAAGGGCGAGAGAGAAACATCAATGAGAGAGAACATCGATTGGCCGCCCCCTGCACGCCCCCCACTGGGGATCGGGCCCACTACCTGGGCCTGGGCCCTGATGAGGAATTGAACCAGCAGCCTCTTGGTGCAGGGTCGATGCTCAACCCCTGAGTCACATCAGCCGGGCTAGTGGATGTTTTAAATGAACCATCTCAGACCCTTGTTTTTTGAGCCTCTGAGCATTTCACTAAAATGGAAGATTTCCGGTGCTGAGACCCAACAGGAAGACAGCTGTTGACCCACCAGATCCTCCCAGAATCAGGGAGCTTCTGAGCTGGGCGTGGCTCCGTGGCCAGGGTTCTGGTGGCCCTGGGTGGCCGTAGGGTCCCTGTTTTCACTGTGCGGTTGGGGGGGGGGTGCCAGTGAGCTCACCCGTGTGTCCTCGTGTGTGAGCAGGTGCATCGTGGCATCAAAGGCGTGGTGAGCGACGTGCACGGGAGAGGGATTCCGGACGCCGTCATCTCCGTGGAAGGCGTGGACCACGACCTCCGAACAGGTAACTGCGGACACGTGTGAACCGTCTCCGTGGGAAACGTCCACGTCCTCGAAGTGTTTGATGGATGAATGGACGTGACCTGGCGTTTCCAAGAGGGCGGTGATGGGCCCGGCTGGTCCTTCTGAAGGGGGGAGGGGGCCTTCCCACACACACTATTCACATGCATTGACTGACCTGTCCCCCAGCAGTCATCCTATTTGACCTGCAGGGAATGAGACCAGGGACAGCGGGGGGGGGGGGGGGGGGGGATTCAGACCTGGCCATGTGCCCTTCAGCGCCGGGCATGGAAGGGCAGTTACTACAAAACTGGGTGAAGTGTATCCAAAGGGCCGCTAAGCAGCGGACTGCCGTGCAACGCCCCGAATCGCGTTCCTTCCCGTGGTGGCCAGTTCTCCACGCGAGAATGTTTCGTGCCTGTGGCACCGCGTCAGGGACACGGTAGCCCCCTAGGCATCGTCACTCGTCCAGTCAGCAGGTGCAGACTTGCCAGGGACAGGTGCCTGCGAGGTGACAGCGTCTGTACGAGGAAAGAGACTGTTTGCGCCACTCGCATAGGATTGTGTTCAAACGTTGCCAGTGACCCCTTTGGAAGAGCGATTCATGCACGAGCCTGGAACACCCTCGGACTGTCAGTGCCTCGCACGCACTGTGAGGAAAGGAGGGTTTCGGTGCAGGGGCAGGTGGAGGGCCCCGGGGCCCCTGTGGAGGGGCAGGTGGAGGGCCTGGGGGCCCCTGTGGAGGGGCAGGTGGAGGGCCTGGGGGCCCCTGTGGAGGGGCAGGTGGAGGGCCTCGGGGCCCCTGTGGAGGGGCAGGTGGAGGGCACGGGGCCCCTGTGGAGGGGCAGGTGAAGGTCCCCGGGGCCCCTGTGGAGGGGCAGGTGGAGGGCACGGGGCCCCTGTGGAGGGGCAGGTGGAGGGCACGGGGCCCCTGTGGAGGGGCAGGTGGAGGGCACGGGGCCCCTGTGGAGGGGCAGGTGGAGGGCACCGGGGCCCCTGTGGAGGGGCAGGTGGAGGGCCCGGGGCCCCTATGGAGGGGCAGGTGGAGGGCACGGGGCCCCTGTGGAGGGGCAGGTGGAGGGCACGGGGCCCCTGTGGAGGGGCAGGTGGAGGGCCTCAGGGCCCCTGTGCAGGGGCAGGTGGAGGGCACGGGGCCCCTGTGGAGGGGCAGGTGGAGGGCACGGGGCCCCTGTGGAGGGGCAGGTGGAGGGCCCCGGGGCCCCTGTGGAGGGGCAGGTGGAGGGCCCCGGGGCCCCTGTGAAGGGGCAGGTGGAGGGCACGGGGCCCCTGTGGAGGGGCAGGTGGAGGGCCCGGGGCCCCTGTGGAGGGGCAGGTGGAGGGCCCGGGGCCCCTGTGGAGGGGCAGGTGGAGGGCCCGGGGCCCCTGTGGAGGGGCAGGTGGAGGGCCCGGGGCCCCTGTGGAGGGGCAGGTGGAGGGCCCTGGGCCCCTGTGGAGGGGCAGGTGGAGGGCACAGGGCCCCTGTGGAGGGGCAGGTGGAGGGCACAGGGCCCCTGTGGAGGGGCAGGTGGAGGGCACAGGGCCCCTGTGGAGGGGCAGGTGGAGGGCACAGGGCCCCTGTGGAGGGGCAGGTGGAGGGCCCCGGGGCCCCGCCAGCCTGCGGAGAGGGGTTGCCTAAGGAGCCGTGAATGTCAGGCCCCTGTCATCAAGCTGACAGTGTGGATGAGCTCAGGGGAATCGCATCTCTCTGTGCCTGCATGTCCCCCCTCCGTAATTTCCCCGCGCGACCCCCCGCCCGGATCCCATGCTTCACAGCAATGCCCCCCGTGATGGTTTCAGCACGTTCAGGGCTCGGCGTTAGCTCCCAACGTACCTTGATTTCTGTCCGAGGCTTGTGCGATCTGATACATTGTATCTCAGGAGGGTTTTCTGTAGAGTAGACAGCCGTGTTGGATGGAATTCCGCAGGGACAGAGCCAGTAAGGATGCGTTCTGCATGCATGTGAACACATTAGCTGTGTCCCAGGCTCAATGTCACGTGGCTGTTCGTGGCTTCGTGGACACTTACCTGACTTGCTGACTGATGGACGTTCACTGGGGCCCAGCTGGCCCTTCTGTCCTCCAATGGTTCACGGCGCCAGCGGTGTGTCCACCTCCCCCTGCAGGCCATGGCATGCTCCGCCCGACCAGACCCGGCCACTCAGTGGGACAGTCACCCAACAGTAGTTGAGACTTAACACATCGAATCCCTTGTGTTCATAAGCATTGCAATTCCTGTCCCCTTCCCTGTGTTCATCCGCCCAGTGGAGCCAGCGCTGGGGGGGGGGGGGGGGGGGACGTGCGTAGGGACACGTTGCTGGTGTGGAGAGTAAGGGCGAGGCGCCCGCACCCTAGCAGGACAGGAAGAGGACACGCCCGGTGGGAGGGCACGGGGCGGGTGAAGGGCTGGCTCCTCCGTGTGCCTGGGGGCTCAGGGGCCCAGAGACACGTCTGCAGGGGGAATTGTGAGGCACAGGCCATCTGGTCTCAAGCCTGAGGCTGCTTGACGGCCTCTCGCCTCCTGAAAAGCCACGAAGTGGTACTGGGTTCAGTGAAAACCTCGCGTTTTCACTAAAGGAGACGCAGGGCACAGGAATACCAGGGAGTCCCCACCTACAAGGTGCCCCTGGGCTCTCACACTGAATCCGGTCTTCCAGGAGCCGACATGAACGCGTGACAACTTGGATGCGTTCCGTGTTTTTAAAAGTTTTATGTATTTATTTATTTAGAGAGAGGAAGGACGAGACACACAGAGAGAAACACTGATCTGTTGTTCCACTTACTTGTGCATTCATTGGTTGATTCTTGTATGTGCCCTGACTAGGGATCGAACCTGCAACCTTGATGGATCAGGATGATGCTCTAACCTACTGAGCTACCCGGCCAGAGCAAATTTCATTAAACATCTTGAGCCCAGCCGGTGTGGCTCAGTGGTTAAGCGTCGACCCCTGCACCAAGAGGTCGCTGGTTCGATTCCCGGTCAGGGCACATGCCCAGGTTGTGGGCCCGATACTCAGTGGGGGACGTGCAGGAGGTGGCCAATCAGTGTTCTCTCTCATCAATGTTTCTAGCTCTCTTTTAAATCAATAAAGAAAAATATAAAAAAGAACACCCTGAAGTCTCGTGAGTTCACCACATCACGGGGCAGGGGGGTCTCAGGTGAATCAGATTGTAATGTGAATGTAAACACGGTGTCTGTGGGGGGTCACACACACACACCCGGAGTTTCACCCACCCCTTCGCAGACTCCAGGACTTGTTTACACGCGTGACCCTACCCAGGCCGACTCAGCGTTTCACCAGGCACAGTCTTTCCTCGTCCCTCCCTGGCACGAAGCCTCAGCCGGGCAGGACTCACCAGACCTGGCCCTGGCAGGCCCACGGACTAGGTGTGACCTTGTGCAGGAGGTCACACCTCCCTGGAAAACTGCTCATGTAGACGGGGAGTCACCCTGGGCCACAGCAGTTTCCCTCGGAAGGCCCAGGGGCCGGCGCGGCCCCTTCTTTCTGCGGGGTCCTCAGTGGGTCGCTGTGTCTGCCCTTCCGTCTCGCAGCCTCTTGACAATCGGGGTCTGTGTTCTCAGCAGGCCAGGCTCCTGGCGACGCACGGCCTTGACTTTGTGCAGAAAGGGTCTGACCCAGAGCCGAGGGGGAGACAGATCCCATTAGGTGCTTGTCGGGTGACTGCTGGGGTGTCACCGGGCAGGCAGGGTCAGCCTTGCAGCACCCGTGTGTGACGCTCCTGTGGCTCCAGGTTTCACTTGGCAGCAGGACCTGGAATACGGGCCGCGGAAGGAGCTGTGGACACCAGGGCCTCCTCCCAGCTCTTGGCCCTTGTCCCCTGTCGTCCTTCCTTCTCTGTTCACAAGCGAGGAGCCCCACCCCTAAATCACCATTGTGTATTCATAGCCGTGCTCCGGGAAGCCAAGAGGCCCAGCGCCGATGGTTTTCCAGGCGGCGTCTGTGGTGGGGCCGAGGGCGTGCCCTTGGAAGCTCGCACGCACCCCAAATGGTGCGCGTTGTCTCGGGGGAAGGAGCGTTAATAGTCATTTCTCTGTCTGTGCATGTGTGTTAGCGCTGTGGGGAGTCCACACCCCACAGCCCCCCGTTAGGAGCGTTAAGGTCTTCCAGAGAGGGGAGCCCCTCGGCGCGGGAAAAGCGTGGGGAACCGGCATCCGCGGGGTCGGGCTCCACGCGCTGCCTCACCGACTCTCTCTGGTCTTGGGAGCGCGGGGCTGGGGGGTCCGCCCCAGACAGAACCGCTCCGAACCCCTCTGCTTTCTCTTGCCAGCCAGCGACGGAGATTACTGGCGCCTCCTGAACCCCGGAGAGTATGTGGTCACAGCCAGGGCAGAAGGCTTCACCTCGTCCACCAAGAACTGCATGGTCGGCTACGACATGGGCGCCACGAAGTGTGACTTCACCCTCAGCAAGACCAACCTGGCCCGGATCCGGGAGATCATGCAGAAGCTCGGGAAGCAGCCCGTCAGCCTGCCGGCCCGGCCGCTAAGGCTGCGGGGGCGGAAGAGACGGCAGCGCGGGTGACCTCCTGGCCCCTGAGCCCGGCCCCAGACCCCGCGGATGAAACCTCCCTCGGCGCCCCGTCGTCCGCTCTGTGATTCAGGGGGGCCTGGGGGCGGTCTGAAGGCTTAGGGTCTCTTCTTTCTTTTGTTCCCGAGTGTCCAGAGACCGTGGGCAGAGCAGCGGAGAAAGGCCGGGGGTGTGAGTGCATTCTGCAGATGGGCTGAGTCCCAGAGAGGAGCCTGCCCGGAGCTACGTGGGGGGAGGGGGGGCTCCCCTGTTCGCGTGCCAGCAAGGTCCCTGTGCATTTCCAATGTGCACAGCTGAGCCGCTGCATTCCTGGTGCCCTGCTGTCCCCAGTGTCAGCCCCCACCCTCTCTGGCCCCAGGACATTCCAAGCTGCTGCAGATCAGTTCTACAGTTGACAGTAGAGACATCACCAAGTGAGCATCAGGCAGCCTCGTGAGTCAGTTCAGTTTCCCTTTAACAAAGGGACGAGCTCATCAGAGCGGGGAAAGGCTGAAATAATTCCAGAGGGACGGTTGGGCAGCTGGCATGCCCGGGGGCTGGTTGCATGCATACTGAGTTTATGTAGAACCCCCAAATTTCCTGCTGCCCCGTAGCCATGGGGGCTCCCTGGGTGGTGACATCCGAAGGTGCCAGCTGCCTAGGGAACCACATCTCGTTTAGTCCAGCTCCTCTGGGAGCTGCTAGGACTTGGAAAGAGACAACAGGCCGACCTGCAACCCTCCCTCTGCTCCAGACACCCGTCCTTGCCTGGCGGTGGGCACGCCTGCACCGCCCGGCACGGCAGTTACTTTGATGTGTGCAATACCAGGCCTCCCAGACGGCTCCAAAGGTGATGAACGCTCCTAGAATTGTCTGTGGGGCGTCCGTTCAGGAGGGGTTACTAAATTACCGTGCAAGACGATGTCTCACTGTTCCTGTTGCTGCCTCACTGACCCGGGAAGAATGAGAAAATAAAGCAAATGGAAAGATGCTCTAGTGTGGTTTTCCCCGGGCACCTCGCCGCCACTCCCGCTGTCCGGAACACGGTGGGGACAAGCCCCTCACAGCTGACCCACGGGCCCGTGCGTCCCCTGCCCCGCAAGCAAAGCCCAAGTTCACGGCAAAGGCACAAGGGGTCCGGGGAAAATTAGAAACAACAAATCAGGGGTGAGGAGGGTCCTTCAGTGCCTTGTGGGGTGTGCAGAGGAGAAGGACAGGAATTTGGCGCCGGGGTGCCTTCAGCTCAAGGGGTCCTAGGACAGCAACTAGGTTCCTGGTGCAGGCCAGCTCTGATTTATTTGTTGGGGGGGGGTGGCTTGGAGCTCTGTGTTAAGGAGTCTGAGGCGGGGTCCTGACTCCGTGGGAAAGGATGCTGCAGCGTATGGCTGGGTGTGCTGTGGGGACAGGAAGAGGGGACAGCGGGTTGCCTCACCTGTCCATCCCTGAACTAGTTTGACCCCCCTGGACTTAGAGAAAGGGAGACTGAGGCCCACAGAGAGGCACGGAGGGTCCAGAGTCCTGTCGCAGGAGCAGGGCGCTCCGGGTGACGTTCTTTAAATACCTTCCTGAAAACCAACCGTGAGCAGGTCCTGGAGCAGCCTGGGTCTGTGCCCCTGGAGCAGGTCACGCCCGGCAGTGACAGACGCCGTAGGAGCCGGCACGCTTCAGAAATCGGGGCAAAAGGCGGGAAGGCCTGGAGCAGCACCCCAGGCAGATGTTCGTGAGGAGCCCGGAGGGTGTGTGGGGCCCCACGGAGCCTGGTTCTGGCGCTTTCCTGCCATCCCGCCGCCCTGTCCAGCCTGTCCGCCCTGCCGCCCTGCCGCCCTCTCTGCCCTGTCCGCCCTTTCCGCCCTGCCCGCCCCGTCCGCCCTGCCCGCCCTGGCCGCCCCACCTCACGGCTGGATGCCGTCCTGACCCTGAGGCTCCATTTCCCGCTGGCCACGCTCTTCAGAGGGGCAGCTTCGGAGCGTCAGCTGGTCAGCGCCACGACGCGGTTTTGTCGTCTAGGCGACGGCGAGAGGAAGGGGACAGTGCCCCCCTCACGCCCCTGTGGCCCTGGTGAATGGGTTCTGTCCACGCCTCGCCCATTTCGAGTTCTCTGCCGCCTCCCCCCAGCCTCTCCGTGGGGCAGGCTGAGCGGGGAGGAGCAGCGGAAATGTCCTCCGTCCCTGGGCGTCCGTCCCTGGGAGTCTGTCCCTGGGAGCGAGCGCGGGGCGCCGGGACGTCCACCGCACAGCCGGGATTTATTTCCCTCCGGGCAGCCCCTGGTGTAGGCTGAGCCCCCTACGCAAAGGAGGGAGCGAGGCCGGAGCAGGTGATGGGACCTGGGTGGCCATCCCGCTGGGAAGGGCTCTTCCCGTCCTGAGTCCTTCTAGTACGAACGGGCAAACCAGACGTGGGTTTGGGGTTCACAGCCTATGGGTGATGGCCTGTGCACCCCGATTCCGGTCGGAGCTCCCTCCGCGTGCTGTCCTGGGTGGGTTCTTGGGGCCATGTCTGGCTCGTGCCCCGAGGCTGTGCTGCTGGCTGTATTGTTCACACAACAGGGCAATTCGGGACCAAGCGGGCACAGGGGTGCTCTTGAGGGTTGTAGGGCCAGAGGTGCAGGAACGGCCGGTCCTTCCTGTCCATCACCTCTCCTCCCTGGAGGCTGCAGGAGGCTCCACCCGAGGGAGAGGATGGCGGACTGGGAGCCGGCGAGGTTTCCTCCGGGCACAGACCAGGCCTTTCCCACCCCGGTGGCTGCGTTGGGCCCAGCCATTCACGGGGCCCCTGCCCTGCAGTGGAGGAGGAGTCGGCTGAGGGTCTGTCTACGGGCTGAGCCTGCCCAAGCCCGAGAAGGGCCTCGAGAGGGGGGGTTTCTGACCTGAACGCCTAAGCTCACCTGCTGGGAAAACACGGACAATGGTTGTCGTGGGTTCTGGCCAACTGAGTGGCAGCTCAGCCCCCAGGAGGGACGGGGGGCTGGGAAAGGGGAAATGGGGGGGCAGGCCTTGCGCCGGAGGAGACCGAAGTACCCAGCGTATGTCCTGGGACACTTTAGAGTGAAGACGGAAAGGCGTCTGCGCAGAAATGGAACCCGACCACCCACAGCCGTGTGGGATGGTCCTTCCCTCCTTCCGCGAGGACCCTTGTGCCCTGCCCTGAGCGAGGTGTTGTGGACTCTGCCGCGGTCCCCTCCAGATGGCACTGGGGCTCGGGAGGGAGAGGACCCCAGCTCCCCTTGGAGCACAGGCAGAACCAGAGAAAGGCCAGTGTGACCGGGTGATGGAGGCGGCTGGGGTGGCGGAGGCGGCTGGGGTGGCGGAGGCGGCTGGGGTGACCGAGGCGGCTGGGGTGGCGGAGGCGGCTGGGGTGGCGGAGGCGGCTGGGGTGACGGAGGCGGCTGGGGTGACCGAGGCGGCTGGGGTGGCGGAGGCGGCTGGGGTGACCGAGGCGGCTGGGGTGACCGAGGCGGCTGGGGTGGCGGAGGCGGCTGGGGTGACCGAGGCGGCTGGGGTGGCGGAGGCGGCTGGGGTGACCGAGGCGGCTGGGGTGGCGGAGGCGGCTGGGGTGGCGGAGGCGGCGGGGGTGGTGGAGGCGGCGGGGGTGACCGAGGCGGCTGGGGTGACCGGGAGAACACAGACCGGGGCACTGTCTTTGAGGGGCGGTAAGAGGACCCCCCGTGAGACAGGGAACAGTCAGTGAGGAGAGGGGGTGGCACAGGAGACCAGGGCAGACCGTCCCAGGCTCGCTGGGCTGGGTTCTGAGCGGCACCAACGCGACCTGGCGAGAACGTCAGGAGACTGAGCCCACAGCTTCCGGGAAGGGATGGGGCCATTTCGCTGAGTCTAAACATACATGTGCTAAAACCCTTTCTTTTAATAAACAGAGTGGAAGAAGCGTTCAGTCCTATAAAAAGGAGGGTACATGGGCCGTGAAAAGCATCAAGGAGCGTAGGACAGACTAGGATTTCATTGCAAATCTAAATTCGGCAGCTCTGGTACCTTTGCAAGAAGTGTTCACGGGTAGCCGGCCTGGCGCTGCCGCCCGGCCGCATTGGCGCTGGGGAGGGAGGCGCCACCACCCCCGTGTAACGGGTGGGGCAGGAGGCCTGGGCTGCTCACGAAGCTCTTTCAGTTTTTGGAGAAGCAGACATTCTGAGGGAATGGACTTTCGTGAACGGACAGACCATGGAAAGTTTTGCAAGACGAGAATTTGGAGCAGAAAGATGCCCACCGTGGGCTAGTTGGTCTGACTGTATGCCGTGGTTTGGTGTCCCCTGAGAGTAAAGTCTCAGACAAGCACTTGGGTGCAGGGAGCTTATTTGGGGGTGATCCAAGGAGGCAGGAGGGAGGGAGCCGGGAAGTGATGCATGGAAGAAGCCGTGATAAGGGGGCTGCTCTGGGCAGTGCGGTTCCTGCCGGGGTCTCTGAGAAAAATGTGGGTGCCTCCTGCTATGTCCTCATGGGGTACCGGAGGCTGGAGGCGGTGGGAGGCGCTGGGCTCCTGGGTGTCAGGCCTGAGCGTGGGGAGCAGCACAGAGCCTTGAGGGGACCCTGCCGGTGGGAAGGGAGTGTGCGGCCCAGGTGACCGGGGACCTGGGGGCAGGGCCACCCAAATGCATCTGTGACCCCAGGAAAGGCACGGTTGAGAGGTGGGTCCCGGAAACCGACTCGGGCTCTAGACGGCTGAGGGGAGAGGCTCTGAGTTCACCACCTCGGTGCCCAGGGCCAGCAGCTGGAGGCAGCGAGGGCCCTGGGCGTTGGCAGACTTCTGTCCATCAAGTCCTCCACTTCCAAAGACGTGGCCCAGTGTGCTCGCCGGGCACGGGGCCGGGGCTCCGGCGCCGCTGGGAGGAGGAAGGCAAGGTCTCTGTCCCCCCGGAAAGGGGGTTCCCAGTGGCGCCTGGTGTCAGGGGCCCTGGGCTGGCTGCCACCTGCGACCTGAAGGAGGCGGAGCCAGGAGCTCCAGGTGGAGACGCCAGTGAGGGAGTCCTTGTCCTTGGTACTGATGTGCTCAGCTACTCTGCAGGTCAGTCATCGGACGGACACGTGGGGCGGGCCTGCGGGCTGTGAGCGTCTCCGTCCCAGAGAGTGGATTTCCGGAGGGAGACAGAGGCTGGGAGTAGGGGTCCAGCCTTCCTGCTGGTGGGGGTGGGATTAGGAGGTGCGGGCCCTGCGGGGGAATGGGGTGTTCTGGGGGAGAAGGCACCCGCCTCCATGAGGTGGGCTGAGGCGAGGGCTGGGAGCCCCTGGCTCACACCAAAGTGGCGGAGACGGCGGAGCCTGGGCGAGCGTCTCTCTCCAAGTCACGGCCTCGAACTCAGGAAAAGGTTTCCACGGCAGCGAGAAGGGTGCAGCTGGCAGGGGGGAGACTGGCAGGAGGAGGCGCTTGAAGCTGCTGCACGGCCCAGGGGAGGCGACGTCACACACCAGCCCCCGAGGGCTGCTCGAAGGGACTCTGTGCTTCAGGCTCCGGGGAAACGTCTGGTCTCCAGTCCCACAGCCTGATCGTCCAGTCGGCACTGAAGCCAGCCTCCCTCCCCTCATCGGGTGGGGCCGGAGCCAAGGCCTGGGGCCCCCCAGGCTGCCTGGGTCTTCCCCGCCCACCCCCCCTTTGGGCCTATTTCCCTGAGCGGAGCTGATGACACCCTTTCGCCCTGCCTCCCACCAGAACAGGAACAAAGTAGGGCACTGTCAGCACATTTTAAAATCTTGTCTTCCGGCAGGACTCTTTCTCTTCTTAAAAGTTTCGTGGGAAAAAACGCTCTCCCTTCGCCGGCACTAAGGGCAGAGCTGCGGCATGATTTGCTCGGAGGGACACACGCTACCTGGTCACGGGTTCTAGTTTCCGGAGCTCGGCATGGACTCTGCTGACCGCACACGGCCCAGGGGTGGGTCGTGAGAAGCAGAGCGGTTTTGCCGTGTGGGGGGCACCCGGCCGATGCCGTTCCTGACTCCACGGGGCCTCCGCTCCGCAGCTCTGCC